GAACACCTTTCCAGGAGACGGCTTGAGACGAACCCGGATGCTGGGGAATACTTTTCCGTTAACTCTTTATAGTGGTACTTGGCGCACACCCCGGTTAGTACCGTGGTGGAGTTACCGGATATAGTAGGAGGGGGGGGGGTGCCGGGACGGATTCCGCGGCTAGGCTTTATTTGTTTGTACGGAGTATTTTGGGCGAGATTTGGGTACGAGGCTGTATGTATTTGTAGGAGCACGGAGTAGCTAGTACGGAGTACTACGATCCTCCGTACAAAGATAAGCTAGTACACCCTGCCGAACCCCATCTAACCGAATACAGTATACGAAACATCAACGACCAAGTCCTTGAATATCCCCGAATATACCCAGATTACCTGTAGAACTACAACTTACATACCGCAATAGGCTAGCCTGCCCAAACTAGTCCATCACATCACACCTCCTTCTCCGGATCTGCCTGTCATGTGCTCGATAAACTCCTGTCAGTTGAAGCGACAGGATGACAGCCGGGACGCGGATGTCAGGAGGTGAAGCTTTGGTTCGTTTCAGGAGGTAAGGAATGATTTGGAATTCTGGCTGAAGTGTTCGATGTTCGACATTTGATGCAGGTTACAAATACGGATACGGTGTTTGAGTCGCTGTAGATATACTGATTCGGAAATATATGTGTATACGTATGCAGGTGGTACTTTGGTAGTTCTTCCTCGAGGCATTCTCTGCTGATATGATCCTGTAGTATGTACACAAGCGAACTGCTTTCGCGGTGTGAATAAATGCATCGTGTACATATATATCCTACATCTTCATCATCGCACGTTGGACCTGCATCGTGCTGTAGGTACAATACAAATCTGGTCAGCGATATAAATGGAATCCACGGAAATCTCCGCAGTGGCTATGCCAGTGCTCAGATTGTCAGATGCTGCCGTAAATTTTGAATCCCAGAAAAAAGGGGCATAATTTACGATTACCCGAAAAGGAATATAACAGGATCATACTAATTTGCGTCGCGTAGAGACTTCTCCAACTCAACGAATGATGATACTAAGGAGCGACAATCATTCCGGGGACCAAGGAATGATTTGATTTTGACAGCAAACAGCTTAACCAAAACCTCGTCTTCGGTAAACTCTTTTTGTATGGTCGATTTCCTTTTTCGGTCAGGCTGACAGCTGCCGTAAGGCAACTGACAGAAGTCTAATCCGAGACTATTTCCAACCGTCGTAGGTTGGTGTCGTCAATCAAAATCCGAGATGGTAACATAGTACGTATTGTAAGTCCACCGAGCATCTCCGATCGGACAGCATGAGATCGGGTGTCCCGAATGGCATTGATTTTATCGGCGCGGCAATAATAAATGGCTATTAAGCGGTTTTCCAACCAATCCAAAGCCTTGATGGACAGGCACACGCCGCCTACTGTCCTGCCCGTATGATCGTCCGGCAAGGCAAGTCAAGCCCGGGAAGGCCAGATCTGATCGAATATTTTTGCTATGTGTTATTACGGACAGGACACCTTACAGTTTTATTATATGGGAGTGTTGCCACTGCGTTGTATTCGATTAATTGAGTTCCATGACTTTCGAACCTCAATATTTGGCGTTTTATAGCCTTCCAGGACTGGGGGATGAATTGAGCAGCAGATCATGGAACAGGAGATCCGTGACAGAATGCCAGAACCACAGTACGCGAGGTACGCTCAGAAGTACCCCGACAATATTCGGGATCTCCGAGGAACTTTTGTTGCTTTCGTTTTTGGATATATGGATTCGCGGTGCTTACTGATCGGGGAATAGTAGCTATAGCTACAATCTCTACACTACACTCTGTACTCTGTACACTGTACACTGCACTTTGAGATAGAAGAGTAGAACTACAGAGTACTCTAAATCTGTAGGCTGACTTAGATACTGCACCTTAACTCTATCTTTTATGCTTCGAGTAAGAACTCTGACCCCTCGGAATCTGCAGAGAACAGACATCCGCAAAAGTAAACATTCAACAAACGCCAACGAACCCACAGTCGATAGAGAGGAATCTCGTCCGAACGATCTGCGGGTACTTTTGATACTAATAGGTAATTTTTATTTTTTTTTTTATTTTTTAATTTTTTAATTTTTTTTTTTAAATTATAATTAATTTTTTCTTTTTTCTTTTCCCTGCCTCCACCTTTGACCAAATCCACTTGCTCTTATGCACTGGGCATGTTTCGGGCTGATGCACTCAGGGATCATCCATGCTGACGGGTCCAGAGAAATCAGATACAGCAAGAGCATGACATTGCTTCTGTATACGCTGGAATACGCTTTGGTTCTTTTGTCCAGCTTTCGCCAATCCCGTTATCAGTCAGAAAACGATCAGGGCTTTTGAGGTCATTTGAAAAACCGCCATCTCCCCAGCTTCTTTCCTTCCTTTCACATTATCACATTTACAGCATTCCAAGTATATCTACTTCGATACTTCAAGGATATAAGTACATCTACTCCGATACTTCAGGGATATAAGTATAGCTATTATTATACTATATCACTGCTTTTTCCCACTGCATAAGATCCGCTTCTTGCAACAAAGAAACACTCGGTTGCTTACAGCTCGTCCGATTCCCCGGGTGCATTCAGACTTGATAACGGCCGATTGTTTGTTTGTCTTTTCCCGTCTTTCATTCATTCATTTCCTTTTTGTAAGTATCCTATATTCTTTTTTCCTTTTTTTCTTTTTATTCATGCTTGATGTCAAATAATCCCCGTCTTCTCCCCACCTGTCTTGTGCTGTCACTGGCTGTCATCGGATATGTACAGCGGATGAGGTCTTCCGGATGGAGTCTCCCCTGTCTACACGATACTTGCCTTCGTTTCTGGACTGCTTCTGTTTGCACCTCCCTTTCCTCGCCTCCACGCTGGCGTTCGCATTGGAACTGACCCCGGCTAATGTGCTCGTGTCCAGACCTCTTGGTCTCGAAGTTCGCCTAGAAATAGGACCACGTTCGCTCCGTTCTCGTGGCATTTCAGAACCATCAAGCTCAATCTTTATGTTTTGATCAGACGAGCTCGATTGCCCTCTTTGCACTGACACGTTTTTGTGCAACTCTCCGGAACATCACAGTATCCTTTGATACATCTCGCCTTCACCCCACTTGTCTTACTTCATTACCCCTCTGAAACTATGGTTGTCAACGCCCCTATTGCCGGGCCAAGTGCCGTCAAGCGGCCCTCGTCTGCTCTCGAGGATGAATGTGCTCCCAGCTGGGACACGGCTCCGGTGAGTCTTATATCTGATGGCGGAGCTGGACAGCAAGACTAACGCCTTATCCAGTCCATGATGCCTCCTCTGCGCCCCTCTTCGTTCCATCTCCCCTTTGCCCACTACGCCATGGTCTACCTCGACAACATGGGCCGCCTTCGTACATCAGAGTCTTCGTCCATCCAAGAACAGGGTGGCACAGTCTTCACTCCTGAAGTGCGCGAACATTTCTTGGAGATTCTCGGTGGTCGCATTGGCTACCAACGCCCTATGATGCGCCGTATGTGACATCCACCTCAGTCACTCAAAACTTCCTTACTGACCTTCACAGGCTCCTCTCCCTTCCGCGGAACCCCTCTCGGTTATGGCTACGCCAGCCCCGAGGAAATGCAGGGCTTGGCTCAGTCCCGTCGAGTTCGCCGTCGCCGCGCTTCCCACGACCTGCACGGAGACTACTTCCCCGAGCCTGTCGAAGAGATGACCCCCTCCACCCCCGACATGGTTGGTCTTGAAGTTGGAGACACTGAGAAGGTCCTTGCCTACTACGAGAGCGCGTTGAAGCACTTCCAGCAGATCAACTGTCGCCAGATCGCCAAGGCCTTTATCAAGTTCATTGAGCCTCGCAAGCAGGTCAAGCACCCCTACAATGGAGGCAAGCCCCCGGCTGGTGCCCCTCCGGGTCAGAAAGGTGACCCTGAGAAGACAAAGCCTGACTGGTGGCCTGCTGGTGTTCAGCACAAGGAGCCTGATCACCTTAAGAAAGAGGGTGAGTTACATACCTTTTGGCTTCTGTTGTTCACATGCTAACTATACCAGAACGTCTTCAACTTTTGATCCACATTATGCGCAAGCTTGGTCGATGGGGTATTACCGCTGAGAAGTTGAGGGAAGTCGCACAGGATTCTAAGCGCTCGCTCAGAGGCCCTGAGAAGCTTGAAGAGATGGAGGAGATGCTCAAGGTGCGAAAACTGGAAGAGCGCTACGAGCGCGGCGAAGTTGGTATGTTTCACTTACAGAATTGATATGGGCGAAAAGATTCTAACTCTTATCCAGACGGAAACACCACTGTCTTCATCAAGAGCCGAGAGACCAGCCCCAAGACTGACAAGGACAGCGACTCGATCTGCGAGCCTGAGAAATTCGAAGCTGATGAGGAGGACGAAGCCGAAGAAGCTCTGACAAGCTCTATGCCTACCGCAATCGAACCCGTGCCCATGGCCAGCCGCCCAATGCAGGATCAGCACCTCTTCTCCTTGGACTCTCTTAATTTTGGCGAGCCCGTCCGTCATGACCGCTCCTACTACGCCCCCTCCTCGAGCTACGCCGACGACTTTACCACCTCACCAGCTCAGCCCTTTGACTACATGAGCCACGCTTCCTTCTCCTCTCCTGAAGAGCATCGCCCAACTTCCATGCCTGTGCAGCCGCCAGTAAACCACTTTGATCCCTGGACATCTCCCTTTGGCCGCCAAAACCTCTTTGACTACAGCACCGCTGCCGCCACCACCCAGGCTGTGGCACCGCCCTCGATGCCTTACCAGATGCCCATGCCTACGCAGGACCTTCCTCATCACGGCTTGAGGACACCTCACATGGACCCCATGGCTCTCAAGGCTCCTGCCTACCCTGGATCTCTTACGCATAGCCACATGATGCCTGCCCACCATGTCTAAACATAGACATGACGAAAAAGAAAATGGAAAAAAAAGGGCGCATTTGTATTTCAATTGTGAGATCTAGCTGACGCTGCACGACCCGAATGACTTGATGTTCATTCTTACGCTTTGCACGGCTGGAGTTTGGGTGGTTTGACTTTCATCTTTATTCTCATCTCTTTCAGGATTCTCATTGGTCCATGGTATATACGTGTCTTTTCTTTTGTGTCATATTCCTTATGTTCAACATGTCTTATATACTCGTTTCCGATTGTCTATATTTTTTTGTTCTTTTTCTCTTCTGGCGTTTCCTGGGATGGTTTTCTTTTGTTAAGCGTTCTGTTATGTTTCATGTCATGTCTATGGATAGCGAGGGCGTTGATGTGGTGGATTAGGTTGGCAAAAAGCACTTTCGTGTTTGGAGCAATTTTCTTCATGTAATTAATTCAATGAAAGTATAAAAAGACAAAAAATAAACAAGATCCTAGCAAAAAATTGTAGTGCTATTAAATGCTTTCATAAAACGCGCATAATACTGCATAATTAGGGCTCTATATGGCACCTAGTCACGTGGATTTACTGCAGCGCCTAGAGCGCTTAGCGGGTAGCCTCGCGGCAACAAAGAGCAACTCTGCCAGTCATTCCCATCTCATTCATCCTTTTGTACATAGACTGTCTAGTCTCTTCAGACAGCAGCCACTTTTTTACCCTCTCAACCTGTTAATCGATATTAAGTCTATCGATTGCACTTTTTTCCGCGTGTTTTCCTTTTCGATTTGTTGATACGCGGCGACTTGACCTCTACTTCATTCATCCCGCCGCGCCGGTATTGACAACATCGACGACGCCACTACTCCTCGTGACCGTTCGTGATATCGCTGGCTGCCTACTTGCTGCGTACGACTGGCGCTTAATTTTGATAGGGGATACCATTGTCTTCTTCGATCAAAAGCGAGTGAGCGACCGTGTCAAAGGTACTCCAATTGTGTCAATCGTCCTTAGGTCCTACGTTTTGAGGTGGTCTTCTATGGATTCACCTATTTATCATTTTCTGGAATATCCTCGTATGTCCCCTTTGAAGTATGTTGTTTTGGCTGACTCTTTACCTTTGTCGCTTTTGCGACTCGGTCCCGGGTGATAGAGCTTTAGGAATATTCGCTCATCGAGACTCACGAACCCTGGCGCTTTTATCGAACCACTTTTCTATCGACTTCAAACGATAAAAATATCAAGTACAGCAAGGGATTTACGCGTTTCCACTACACTGAAGACCTCAGGCGGGAGGACGTTCTCCGCTCCTCTCGGCAGACATGGCCGGTCCACCAAACCCATTCGCTGGCTTGGCCCAAGCCCAAAACCAGAGAAATGGAACCTCGAATCGTGGAGGGCGTGGAGGACGAGGACGACCGTCGCCGTTCCAGCCTAAAATTCTGAATGCGCCTCCGTCTACGACGCCAACAGCACCTTCATCCAGTGACAACAAGACCCGTGGTCGAGGACGAGGACGAGCTACGTCGACGAGAGGGTTTACGCGAGGTCGGGGAGGCTCGACAGGACATGTCAACGCGTCACGTAATAAGCCCGAGTCGAATGGTGCGTCCGAGTCGCCGTTTACGCAACCGAAGTCGAATAAGTGGATCGCACCGCCTGCGCCTGCGCCATCGCCTTTTGGTGTCCAGAATTCGCAGACAAAATCGCCATTTGCTTCGAATGGATCGTCTCGGGGGCCAGGCTTTGGTGGATTTGGGCCGCAACAGGCTGTTACAACAAAGAAGCCAGTGATGAATGGTGCGACGGGGGCTGTGCCGGTTGAAGATGCTTCGACTTTGAGCAGTTACACTGAGCGATACGAACAGGTGGGTACCGCTTGGATTATGGATTCTAATATGGCGGCAATCTGACCGATTATAGCTCAAACTTGATAGAGCAAAGGAGAGAGAATTGGCTATTAAAAAGGGTCTTATGGCTGATCCCAACCAACCCACCTCTCTAAATCAGGCGATTACTCCCGTTGGCACTTGCACGAGCATGTGCCCCGACTTTGAGCGCGTCGAGCGCATTGTTCAGAAGATGGTGGATAAGAGTGAAAAGGTATCGACATCAAGATTGGAATGGCCATTACGTTCCCCAGGCTTACGGTTATTACCTCAGTTTCTTCACCCAGCAACAAATTCGTTACAATATATGGAGACAAAGATGCTTAAGCGATTCAGAAGATCGGCTGCCGGTTATGACGAACAGCTTCCATCCGATATTCGAACGCCCAATACACTCCTTCAAACCACCAATTACCTAATCCGACATGTCGTTGGAGGCCCTGAGCCTCTCGGTTTGATTCACAAATTCGTCTGGGATCGTACTCGATCTATCCGGAATGATTTTTCTGTGCAACAACTCACTCAGGAAGACCATGTTCGAACAGCAGTCACTTGTCTGGAACGGATCGCACGGTTCCATATCCTTTCCCTTCATCTACTTTCCAGCCCTGCGAATGAGGAGCCATTTGACCGCCACCAGGAACGGGAACAGCTCAACAACACCATGCTATCATTGATGTATTACTACGATGACAACCGTGGTCGTATTTCGTTTGCCAACGAAGACGAATTCAGGGCGTACTACATCATCTTCTCTATCATGGACCAGAGACCCGATCTCGAAGCCAGGGTACAGAAATGGCCTGCCGAGTTACGGAACTCAAATCGCGTACAAGCAGCATTGGAATTGTTTGCTGCAGCTGGTAATACGTGGGATTACCAAGGAACGCTGGACTCTCGACGGCCCAATGCGATTGCCCAAGGCTTTTACGCGCGGTTTTTCGCAATCGTGGACTCTCCCGCCGTGTCATATCTCATGGCATGTGTCGCGGAGATTTATTTCAACCACGTGCGACAGACGGCCATCCGGTCGATCTGGAAGGGATACTGTCGCTACCCGGCCTCTCAGCAGCATAAAAACGAAGAGTGGACGATTGATGAGTTGACGATGGTGCTATGTTTCGATGATGACGAACAGACGAGAACATACTGCGAATCACAAGGTCTGCAATTCGCTGAAAACGCTAACGGCAACCTATATCTCAACTGGGGCAGTGATCCCATTGAATCTGTTGGTACGTGTGTAACTTGTCGACAACGGTCTATCACTCCTATTCTTCGTTCTATTTTTCATTCTATTTTTCATTCTATTCTACATCCTTCTCGCCTCTTTTCGTCGATCAGCAACCCTTCTCGCGTTTTATCGGCACATGTTTCCAGGATCTTCCATTCTTTTTGCCTTAGCCTCCTTACCATTCCGGTTACGTTCGACTGACTCGTTTTCTTAATCCCAACCAATAGCTTTCCAACCGTCTTCGGATCATTCATTCTCAGAAACTCATGTCGAATCGAAGCGTGCAGGCAGAAGCCTGGTCGCGGTTATCCTCGGACTGAGCATCAAAGAAGCCGCTAGCATAGGCATGATTGACAGCTCTGTGCTACCACAACGATTACTTGCTTTGCCCGCTCCCACTGGTCTATCGACAACGGAGGATGATTCTCTTTTCGTTAGCGATGACGAGAACGAGATTCCAGCACCTAGCGTTACGGTATCCAGTGATAAACCGCCGGCATTCGCACTGTCTCCCTTTGGGGGTTTCCCGCCAAAAGCTAACGAGCCCCCAACCGCGGCAGCATCGCAAACGAGTAACCCCTTCCCTTCGCCGTTTAGCGGTGGATTTGGCCAAGCTCCTGCAGCGCCTACATCTATGACACCTGCGGTGTCTGCGCCGGCTTCCTCTAACCCTTTCGCTTCTAGCTTGTCCACCTTTACACCTGAACCGGCAGCGCCAGCTGCGCCCAATCCTTTCGCTCGTGGTCCGTCTCCGTTCGCACCTGCAACGAGTGCGACAACTGCACCAGCAGCTCCTAATCCTTTTGCTTCTACGCCATTTGCACCACCGAAGGTTGGGACACAGGTCACCCAAACGCTTGGGCCCTTTGCTTTGTCTTCTCCGAGTCCGGAGAAGCAAACTAGCGTATTCGACACAGCGCAGAATCCTTTTGCTTCTAAACCTGCAGCCCCTGCTACCACGTCACCTGAGGCCAAGTTCCCTTCCTTCTCAACTTCCGCTCCTTCGTCGTTTAATATCTCGCAAACTTCGACTTCCTCTGAGCCGACTACTAGTGCTTTCCCTAGCACTTCTCAACCTGCTCCCTCCTCACCATTCAGTATCTTCAAGACCCCGGCTTTAACTGAGCAGACTCCGGGAGTCGCTGCTGGACAGCCCCCAAAGAGTCTCTTTGATACAGCTAAATCATCCAGTTTCCCAGGGAGCATAGGCTCTTTGTTTAACCCCCCTGGTCCGAGTGCTCCTCCCAAAGAGCCTAGTATTCAAGTTCAGACAAGTGTCTCGAAGCCCGCGCAAGAGACACCTTCATTGTTCGCGCCGAAAGAAAATGGTATGACAAAACATACAGTTTGATTCATTTTCAATTTATTTTTTGCTAACTGTATAAAAGTGCCGTCTATTTTCTCGCCAAATAAGCCAGCCGCAACAACCACCTCAACGAGTTCTATCCTTGCGCCTAAGGAGAATACGACTCCGATGGAACAACCAAGTGTTACAGAGAAACCGACAGCGGCTGAACCGGCAGAGACTGTGCTCGAGCCGATTGACCTTGCGCCTCCCACAAAGCCGAATCGTGCGCCGTCGGTTTCTGAGAGTTTGAAGCAGCCCGCAGCCACGCTACCCCCAGCGCCAGCACAGCCAGAAGAGCCTACAACAAAACTTGCTGAGCCTGCTGCTGCGGAGAAGGAAGCGTCTATTGGTATGCCACTTCATGTCGCCTATGCTGTCATAATGTCACTGACATGTTTATTTCAGATGCAGCCGAGAAACGCGATGCTTGGTTGAAGACCCTGCAAGAAGCCGCCTCCAGACGACGTGGAGAAACTTCCGGTCGGAAACGGGTTCTCGAGGAGCCGGAAGAGCCGCAACCGACCAGCAGTGGCCCTAAAGCATCGAAGATATTCAAGTCCGAGGAGCCAACGCCTCGCAAAACATCGATGGCTTTATCATCAATTAAGCCACTGCCCACGCTTCCTATCCTGGAACAAGTCAAGTCGACGACTGCACGAAAACCCGTGGAACCGGAACCAGAGCTCAAATACAACCAAATCGACGAGGACGAACTCCTCCTATCAGCAGCCCGCATCGCTGCGGAGTCGTTACGAAGCGGGCCTCGACTGTCAGACAGCTGGCCCGGCTATTACAACCACACCGAACGGCCTCGTTCTTCGTTCAGTCCCGCAAGCAGCTTTTCCTCGTCCATGCCCCCGCTCTCGGGGAGTCAATCGCCTTCATATTCATCCCACCACCATGTAAATGGGCACGATCTCGCGCTTGCACCTGATGCAGACTTGGGCCTGGGTCGGAGTTTGTCTCGGACGGAACAAAGACTGCGACTTACCGGTGGTAAAGGACTGGCGTATAAGCCATTAGACTTTACGCCCGAGAAGAAATGAAAGTCCTTAGAGAGATAGTTCGTTAGCGATACATTTTGGGATTATGTGATGTGGACCCGGTGTTTATATCTTTGCTTTTTCTCTTGCTTTTTTCATTACCTGCTTAATTGGCCTGTTTGGATACCTGGGCTTTGGTGATATCAGTTGCATTGTTTGTGGCGTTGAGGATTTGATTTTTCTCTATTTATTTTGCTTGTTCAAGACACGTTTGAATACTTGCATGGCGCTGCGAGACTGCATAACATATTGCATTAATGAACTGTGTATACACCTCACATCTCTTCAATACTCGATTTCCTGATAAGGCATAATATAATGATCACATGACCTCATTATCCGGATTTAAATGTCATCATGCGAGTTTGACAAACATTCAATCTAACAACAATTGAAAGAACACACTAATATACATATCAAAATTCCTTTCAAAAAGTACCTGAGTATTATCCGAGAATATCTAAATCCTCGCTTTACTTCACACCCCGCATCGAACATCAACCACCTTCCCACTCTTGGTCTTGTGAATTCAACGAGTACACAGATCAGGACCGGGCCGCCGGTCTTGATACCTCCTTACCAAAACAATACATTGTACAACACTCAAGAAACAACCAAACAAAACAAAATGAAAATCGCCACACTCCAATTCTCCCCCAAACTCGGCGACACAGCGGGGAACATCAAGCGGGTAGACGACCTGCTGAAAAATGGTGGCCGCGGAACTACTCTCGGGAAAGGAATTAGAGAATTACACCCAGATCTCCTGGTTCTATCAGAGATGGCATTGACGGGATATAACTTTCCCAATTTAGAGGCTGTTAAGCCGTATCTCGAAGAGGCCGGGATGGGGCCTTGTGGTGTTTGGGCGAAAGAGACGGCGAAGAAGCTGGGGTGTAAGGTTTGCGTTGGGTATCCGGAGGTTGAGAAGGATGGTGAGGGGGGAGGGAAAGAGACGTATTATAACTCGTTGCTTGTTGTTGATGAAAAGGGGGAGATTCTTGCGAATTATCGCAAGATGTTTCTTTACTATACAGATGAGACTTGGGCTGCGGAGGGTGATGCGGAGCGTGGTTTCAGACATATCTCGTTTTCTCGGCAGGGCGTTGATACGCAGCATGTGGTTGCTACATCTTTTGGCATCTGCATGGATATCAATCCCTACCGTTTTGAAGCACCTTGGACAGCATGGGAATTCGCTAACCGCATCCTCGATACCCGCTCGCAGTTGGTTATTCTGTCGATGGCGTGGTTAACGCATTTGGATCGCAAGGAGCTGCAGGCGCTGCATACAAAGCCGGAACTCGGGACGTTCAATTACTGGGTCCAGAGGCTCATGCCGTTGCTCAGGCGGCATATGGAACACTCAAGTGGCCTTGGTGGGGAAGATGAGGGGGAGAAGAGGATGATTGTTGTTTTTGCAAATCGGGTTGGTGAGGAGGAGGGACATGGGGAGGATAAGGAGCCCGTGAGGTATGCAGGGACGAGTGCTGTGCTTGGGTTCTCGCAGAGGGCTAGTTCTACTGGTGAAGATAGTGGGATTGATGTTAAGATTCTGTGCTGGGATCTTATGGGTGCCACAGAGGAGGGGATTTGTTTTGCAGATACAGTGGAGGATCCAGAGATGGTTTTTAGCCTCGTTAAAGGTGGCCAGTGATGACTTGAAGGGTTGTGCTGTTTATCCAACTATACACAGATATCAAGTCGTGATCACTTCTTCTCGCCCAGTCCATACACAAGCTCCCTAAACAACTCTCTCGCCTTTTTTGTACTTCTCTGAATGAAACCAATTGATCCACACAACGCGACAATCTCCGCCAAGTCCCGGGACACTTTGAAACGGCATACCCGGCGCATACTACATCGTAATACTACTCACCCCAAACACCTCAAACGGCTTTTCTGCCACGAGTCTCATCAGGGTCGTCTTTCCGGAGGCCGGTGTGCTGCGCACTCAGATGATATGATAGCATTGGAATCGCGCTACCAACTCACCAAGAAATTCTGTTCGAGGGGTAAGAAAAGCAGGAATGTCTATGTTCACCAATAAGAATATCTCTACGTATTGCTTGTAATGATGACTTACAAAAAATCTGGTCATCCTCGATGGAACCTTGGGGTCAACTAAGTGCGTGATAACTTTTATCACAGAGCAACTCATAAAAGTTGTGAATGAGAAACTAAAAAGTAGTATCCTGGTCATCTACATGCGCGTGCGTTTGTTGCAAGCATTCTTCACAGATCTTCTGGGCCAGATTATCATTGAACCCCAAGGCGCAGGTCCCGGAAGTGCATGCACAATTGTAGTCCCCGAAATAAACTTGCCAGGTGCATAGGCCCATCTGGACGTATATGGTCTGAGTTTCAGTTTTTCAGGAACTGGCCTGTAGGGCACCAAGCACCTAACCTAGGGTTCGTGTGTTTCCATGTCAGTGCATATTTTGAGTGGAGCATTCTCATGAACATACTCACAGTACGTTTGCACCAAAACTCATAAGTGATTCATTGGGTGGTTTATATAAAAGCATCCCGTATTACTCCTTATATGTTCTTCACAAGCTGGTCTATTTCAGACCTAGGCTGATCGCTAATACATATGGAGCATGCCTTTGAATGTAGTGGCTTAATCTCATCAGGATCAAGTATTGAAGTTATCTGTGATCCTCAATGGCAAAGTGGTGAAAGAGTAGGAAGTTCAAACGGATTAGGAGGGGAATAGTCATTCACTGTCACATGATTTCATCACCTGATCAATTCCCATGTACGAAGAACAGTGATTATTTTCTTCTCCATCAAAAACCAAGCATCATGGTGAATCCAGTCAATTATCTTCCTCCTACTCTTAGCAACGACACCATACGCGCCTTTGCCCTCTCCCAGTACCTCGCGAATCCAATTGCCATTCAAGCCCTGAGTGTCACAGCTGAGTACCACTCCATTTATGTCCTGTCTTTCAATCCAGCCGACGCAGACTATCTCGGTTAATCTGCGCCCTATCTTCCCCAAAGGCTCGGTTGATCTAGTACTCCGGGTGGCAGGCCACCACATTCCCCGCCTCAAGACGGAAAATTAAGTGGCTGTGATGACCTGGCTGCGGAAGAACACCAAAGTCCCTATTCCATATGTGGTTCGGTTCGATGTCACTTCCAACAGCGTGCTGCAGCATGAGACTACTCTTCTAGAGCGCGTTCGCGGCAAGGCCCTGCATGAAATCTACAACCCTCTCTCGCGGGAACAGCTGCATCGTCGCTCTTGGAACGGATTCTCGGGACTTGCCTTCGCCGCAGGCTCTCGTGAAAGTCGTCCCAGGCCGCATTCTTGAAGAGACTTGCTGGCAGGCAAGGGATGTTGCCAAAAATTTCCCATCTGAATCGGTTGAGACCTTTAACATCCACGGCCCGTAAAAATCCTACACCGCATATATCACAGCTTTGGTCCGTGTCTACCAACATGAAATCCGCTTTCACCCCTTCCTCAAGTCATATAGGGACCTTTTACCTCGCTTGGATGTCTTGGTGGATGCATTCGCCCGTCATTCGAAACTAAACTGTGCCAGCTACGTCCTAGCTCATAAGGATCTCCACATGGCCAGCATCATGTTCGACGAATACAGCGAATAAATTACCTGCATTCTCGACTGGGAGTTCCCCGGCATCGTCCCTACCCAGCGGTGGGATCCTTCCCGGGCGTTCCTGCGGAACGGGCAGCGCAACGCGCGCGCCGTGGCGGAGCAGAAGCGGATACGAGCGATCTTCCAGCAGCGATGCCGGACTCGAGGGGTCGGCCAGTTGCTGTTTAATGAGCCAAATTATACTTCTTCGCTGCAGGAGACTATGCAGAATGGGATTTCGTACTTGCGGGCGATTGTCGAGGTTTGTCCTCGGGGGCAGAGATAAGATGAAGCTGCGCAGTGGCGGGATGAGGTGGAGGACTGTTTGGAAGCGTTTAGTGTCTAGTATTATCCTTGTCGGGACTTGATTATTAGAGTGATCCGAAAGGAAGAATACCAACGTCTTGAAAGACGTTGGAAACGTCACATGCTGCAGCCATGTGACGCTGCACTACCTTAGATCATTTGCATGCAAGCGCCCACAAAATGCTGGTACAAATCTAGATCAAAGCATGTGATGACTCTGGTTAGATAACGAACCCAATGGCGAAAGAATATCGACTTTCGAAGAATAAGATCTACAGTTTAGATCTGGATAAAGAGTCAATTCGCATGATGTGGGTTGTATTCCGTACCCAGGGCATTTCTTCGATAGGCTCCGGTATTTGTCAATTGCCAATAGCCGCCGTAGTCCGCGCATGCCATGAGTCACGGAAACTGTACTCTGCGTCGTTCTGTATGGAGTTGTACTTGACATTCCGTACTCGGTCATCAGAGGCAGTGCATCCCCAGCACAGACCATGATAGACCATGATATACCGGGCCGACAGATATGACAGCGATCCGATATCTACCAGGGTGCTCTATGCCTTTCCAAAGTAATTATCCGGGTGTTTTTACAGCGAAGACGTGTGTCGTACTTTATTGTATGAATCACACGTGACTCCGGGTGAACCCCTCCCCGACAACCGAAGACGACCAGCCAATCAGAGTAACGAAATGGACTGCTGAGGAGGGGCACGGGATCAGAGCACATGACTCGAGGTCGAGAAGGAGGGAGGAGAAACTATGATAAATAGTGAATATTTAGCAAGTTGAAGGAAGCGAATGAGGAGTTATAAATATTATTGTTGGATATTGTTGGTTACAAAACAAACTGATGGGTGATGGTCAGGTGACTGCACCTCTGGTCCCTCCCCCCCGCCGCAGGCAGTATCTCGCCCACGTGAGTCGCTCTACTCGAACTCTCAATCAACTCACCTTCCAAGAGTATCCCTTTCTTTGACTTGATATTGGGTTCGTCGGGTTCGCTGTGTTTCGAGGGTCATTCCTATTCTCGTGCTTGAAACCCGCGTTTTTCCCGATCTTTGCGAAGTGAAGTCGCGTTTAGACGACTTTCGCTTCTTGTTGTTCCCCGTGAGCAGGTGACTTGTTGTCAGGTGATATTCTAAGGTACGGACTTTCCCTTCTCCCTTTCCTTCTTTCCTTCCTTTTCATATCTCCGTGGGCTGCGAAATCTCTTGCATCTTCTGCAACTCTATCATCTCGATGGCCTCTACAAGGCATCCCGATGAATTCCCTGTTTGCCACGGTTCTGTGATTTCTCGTGGGTTGTGATTGTCGACTGCCCGCTCTGTGTTTCCCCTGTGTTCCGACCGTCACTGGCTGGTCAGTCATGACGTGTTTGACACAGGCTTTGGGACTGGAAAAAAAAATGATGCTTTTTTTTTTTTTTCCTTCCCTATCTCGCTACTAAGTACAGTAGTTGGATGATGGTGGTTTGCTTGAGAGCCGCCCATCCGCTGCGATGCGGAGATGCGCGTCTCACCCAACGCGTCTTTTATTTACACCCGCACTACAGCTGCTGTTGATGCTTTCTCATCACTAGACCCATACTTGCTCATCTTGATTCCATGAACGCGAAAACTAATCTGGACTTTTAGAAATCTCAACTCAGCTTCAATAGCTGGATCACTACAGTCATCATGTCTGAACCGTCCATGCCACCTTCGGACAATATCGCAAATAAGCGAAAGCGGGAAAGCACTGATAGTGCTGGCCCCGAGCCTCAGAGGAATCGCTCTTCTAACGCAAGTAATGGTAGCATCCAAAGCTCCGACCAGTCCAACTTTCAGCAAAACTCTCTCGGTTCTTACGACCACAACCTTCCCAACACAAACGATCACGGTATTCCGAACTCGTCATCAGAGCTCAACATCGACCAGCAGATTCTGCAGCATGTCGGGACGCAGAACGGCATTTCGGATGACAGTGCTCTAACGGCCAAGGCTGCCTTGGCTGCTCACACCCCTCAGAACAAATACCCCGCTCCGCCAGATGCACCTTTCGATACCAACAATTTGACTCACGGGTTATCATTTGGCGATGACATTGGCCAGGGGATCGGTGGTAGTCACAACCACAACTCCACCGCTGCGGCTGTTTATGCAGCCCGCGAGGCTCAGAGTATGAACTCGAAGCCTTCAGTTGGCTCTCCTGAGTGGCATCAAGTTCGCAAGAACAACCACAAAGAGGGTACGTGCCCAATCCTGTATTCTTTATGAAGAGAGAAAAAAAAAATTAACTTTGGCAGTGGAACGTCGACGCCGTGAGGCGATCAACGAGGGCATCAATCAAATTGCCCGTCTCGTCCCCAACTGCGACAAGAACAAGGGCGCCATCCTGCAACGCGCGATTGAGTACATCCACCAATTGATCGATGAGAAGAGAACAATCCAGGAGCGATGGGAACAATCCAACATGACTACGCACCATGCAATCAACGAAGTCAGCGCGCAGAACTCGAAATTGAAAATCGAAGTCAACCGACGTGGAGAAATCGCACAAAAATGGATACACCGGTGTCAGGATGCAGGTCTTCAGTTTGAGGATTATAATGAATCCGATGAACTCAAGCCGCTTGAAGTTGACCAGGGCCAAGGCTGATTCTTTCTATCTGCTTGAATTGTTGCTTTCGAATATTTTAGGTGGACTTCCCACTATGCATGTGCTACGACTTGTTCATTTCGGGGTTGAGATCTGGACATACTTTCATTTCGATTTATTTCGTGTTTTCGCAGTCTGACTTTGCTGTTACTTGGTTTCGGTACAGTTGATGGTGGACGCCCTGTCCAGGGGTGGACATAGGGCGCTTTTTCCTTTTTCTTTTCTTAGCCTGGGGTGGGTTTCTTATTGTGATTGTTTCTTTTACTCTGATTCCTTCTGTATGTTATTGTTTATGGGCTGGCGAAATACGGCTGGGGTTTGTTCATCCCGGGCAACGGAGCCTGGGTTATCGGAATATTACAAGTTGACTTATGATATGGATTATTGCGGTTTGCCATGCTGGCTTAATGACATTTCGGTTAACTCTACTGTAGTTTCGGTGGTAAATGAGCAACTATTAGTATGCTATCTGACAAGCTAATATGCAAGTACATCCATATGTATCTCCTAGCCACAACAAAATCATCTCGAATCCCACATAATCTCATTCAACCTCAACAATGCATCCGCACTCGCCTTCTTCGCAGCCATAAACCCCTCTCGGTCCTCCGCCCCGCGAGGCCCGCGCAACACATCCGAGAAGCACAAATCAACCAAAACCCTCAACTCATCATATGTAAACGGCTCCCCATTCCCACTATCCAACGCCTTAGCACTATCTGCCGCAAAAGGCTCCTTCTCTTCCTTTGCGTAGTCGAGAGCCTTCATCGCGCCTTCGAGGAACCAGTCCAGGAATTTTGCGCTGAGAGGGAGCGCGACTACTTCTTCCGATGTTTCTTGGGGTTGGTGGTTCTCTGTATCTGGCTCGGGGGCGTGCGAGGAGAGCGGGTTGTGATCTGGGTGGTAGATTATGATGTTTTTTAGGTTCTGCTGCAGAACGAGGACGTCGAGTTGGAGACGTAGAGCGCCATTTTCGTTCATCGCGCCGATGTGTCGCGTGCAGGAGACGAAGGTGCGGTCGATGAAGCGCGCCAGCCCAGAGGTTATGAACCAGCGTTCCGAGGGTCCCAGGGACACGGAGACGTTTGTGTCAAAGGCGATGAGGTCGTTGTTTAGTTCTAGGACTGTAGCTGAGGCGGCGGTGGGTGGGTTGGCGATGATGTGCCACCAGTTGTTGTCTGTGTTGGGGGAGGGGGTTGTTGGTTCGGAGGTTCGGCTTCCTGCTTGGGTGTTGGGGCCGGCCATCGTGCGAGTGAGCATGTGGATAACGCCGCAGCGGATGTCGACGTGGAGGGCAAAGAGGGTGCTGGAGGCGAGGTCGCGGAGAGATTGGAGGGTTGTGTCGAAAGCTTGGGCGGTTTCGGTGTTGAGAGGGAGGTAGATTTGTTGTTGTTGGCTGTGGTCGTGTTTGGGCTTCATGGCGGCGCCGACGAGGGTCCAGCGGCGGGGGGCTGGGCCGGAGGTGTGAACGCGGGAGTTTTGTTGGGTTGCGTCAGATGAGGGGGCTGTTATTTTGCGGAGTTTGGAGAGGTGGCTCGAGAGCCATTGCTGAGGATGTTAATTGTGTATTGAATGAGTTGTGTGATGAACTTACCATGCTGTTGTATAGAAGAGACAGGGCAGCAACTGTTTTCGGGTCGGAGATGATATCGTATGGTTCTAGCGGCACTTCATCGGTGCGTTTGATAAGGAGGTCGGTTTCCTTGTCGATGAGTTCCGACTTGTTACCACTTCCCGCTCTTAGTTCGCTGACCACATCCCGAATGGCACCTGGTTCGATGTACGATGCAGCGGCTTTGAGTTTGACACCGGCATCAGCCCGACGTGAAACCTTGGCCACGATGGCTTTGTACCATCCAAAGCACTTGTCGTAAAAGGTCACAATCTGGGTGATGACCAGTTGCGTAAATGCCGGGTCGTGAGGGATGCTGGAAAGCATTTTACTGAACTCCTTGATGATAGACATAAATTTGACCGTACCCTGCCACCGTTAGTATCTTCAAGCAGTCCAGTAATTAAGATGAGCATACTTTGAAAATAGGCCGAGGGGACACCTCCGACCAGTGAGGATCTTCAGTAAATGCGTCCGGCGCAATGAAGCTGAGCGTACACAGATCCGTAACGGTCTCGTCCAATTGAGGAAGGAAGACGTGAACAAGGAAGTCGTCCAAGAAAGAGGTCAAGGTGCTCATAGCGATTTCCGAGTCCACCGGAACGATATCCTTAAGTTTCTGGATAAATTGAAGGGATGGAGGAAGAAGGAGACCCATGTTGAACACGCTCGGTTCGATGAGAATCTTATGTCCAGTTCCAGAATTCCCTTGCCTTGATTGCGAGTTGTCCATGGTGACTGCTCTCTGCCTCGACTTGGATACCAAGCCGGGGACTGAAGTTTGGATAATCTCGTCCAATTCGTCTTGCTCGACTTTCATCTCCGTGTTGCGGCCGATTTCGGACAGTTTGAACATTTTCTAGAATGGTCAGCATTTAAGGGATCCAACCTGGATAGTTCAAACTCACTTTGTTCTTATCTCTTTGGCCATTGTAAATGTGGCGCTTATTGTCAGTCTCATCTGGCCGAATGGACGACTCGCCATCCGTAGCCAAATAATCATGCATAAGAGACCGAATCTGTTTTGACGCAAATTTGTCAGAATAAAACAGTAATGAATATTTGGAGCACTTACCTCGCTCTGGTACAGCTTCCACAACTCCTTGAAACCGCCAGAAAGAGCACTGCCCTTGGGAATCCCTTCACGTTCAACAATACCAGCAATCACATCATGCAGGACACGATGACCTTCGGCAATCGCCTCAAACTTGGAATACAATGTCCACAGATATTCTGCCAGAACATGACCGCGCTTTTCAATAGCCTCTGTTGGCGAGTCGGCCGTGTTTTCTTGGGCAAAGCCGCGAGGAGAGCTAGGGTACCGTGTATCGATCTCGGCGTTTGTCTTGTCTACAACGGTGAAAAGTTCCACAGGAAGTCGCTGCTCGATCTGGTTGACTGCAATATCCAAATTGCCCATCTTATTCAAGGCTTCAATCAGCAACCGAATGTACTGGAAGGTATCAGCTTCCGGGTTCCGGGACGCATCTTCGACCAAAGGTGAGGAAGCATCTAATTTAGCAAGAAACCCAAAAACGGGTCTTTCCCAAGATCCATTCCCGGTCCAGGCATGTGGATTCCTGCTGCCGTCGTTGTCGGATGCTGGTGGCTTCCACCGGTCGGAGCAATATGGTGATTTAAGATACAGATGATCGTGCAACTCCTCAACCAGGATATCGGTAAGCGAGATTTCTTGGTTGCTAAAATACGCGCGAATGTCTCCCAGTGCTCCAATGTTCTCGAGCTCTGAGCGACGCAAAAGTCGGAACGCATCGTGGAGCACTTCAACTGCCGCAAGGAATCGCTTGTCGGATATCCGGGACTCGAGCTTCTCTGGAAGCGACTGGATTTCTTGAATCTGGTTGAACAACTGGATGATGTCGTCGTATTTCTGGGACGATGTCGCTAGCCCCTTCAACTCGGGCTTGGTTGAAAGCAATCCGGCTTTCGCCTCATCAAGCGCACTCCTGAGCGTACGCACCCGACCCTGCGAGCTTTGTAGATTCGATTGAATTTTGTGGTATGTACCAATGGAACTATTGAATCCCTGGTGATGCTCGTTCACAATGGACTTAAGCGTCTTCTGAATCCGATCGTGCATGTCCAAGAAGTCCGGCTCGCGATCAGCTTTCCCAAGAGTACTCGTATCCATCAAGCTCAGAGCGACCTGCACTGGTACGCAATCGTCGGAAGACATGAAATCCCACTCGCGCTGGATCGATCGTAGTACATCTAAAATAGGTTATAAAACCAGTTAGCAGACAGTATCAAGCAAACACCTCCATCAACCAAAATGTTCATACCTTCGACCGCCTGGGTCCCTGGCGCATCACTAACCTCCGAACGACCCCTCTCCCTGCTTTTCCCGGAATAAAAACTCGCATCTCCAGGGCTCCGACCATCCCTCGTAGGATGTAACATGTCCCCTTCCCTCGTCCGCGATCGCGAGGAAGACGGCGGTTGTCGACCTCGATCCATTCGTTCTCGGTGCCGCTCTGGCGATTGCGTTGGGGGTAGAATGGAAGACTGCTGCGACGATTCATAGTCAAATCCACCATATCCACCTGAGCGATTGCTTCCAAATCCATTGGCACCTAGGTTGCTGTACCCGCCATCGCTGCGGTCGTATCCCCCGGCGTCGGAATACCCGTATCCGTTAGCGTAACCACTTCTGCCGCTCATAACAAATTGCGCACTCCTCTCAAAGCGTAAGAAATGTAGGCAATGATCAAAGTCGGATGGTACGCTAGTCTGGTGTGCGATTTACGTCGTGGAGTATGGCGAGTCGTATACGTGTGCTCGAGGTATTGTGTTCTAGCGCGAGTTCAAGCAGGAGGCAGTTGGAGCATTATTGTCTCGCAGTATAATGCAATGATCCTCAATGTAGTGTCTCAATAGGCGATTGGGACCATCTGCGTCGCAGAACCGAGCAAGAGTAGTTGTTGGAAAGGCCGGGGGGCCGTCCTGCGGGAGTTCCAGGTGTTACTCCACATCCCGATTGACTGCCGCATTCCTCAGGCATGAATATAAGAAATGAAAGTAGTATAACTACTTGGTAGCTTTTATTTACTGATTACTTTCACAAATACTCATTGGAGAATCCCATCAATTTCAACAGTATCTGCTTCTGATCTCCAGTCATTCACTGTAAACAGGCTCGTGAGACTCAGATTGCCTTTGATAGGGCTTCATACAGAGATAATGATCTTTCGGTGCTCCCATCACCGGTGTCATTCACAGGGACTGGATCGAGTGCGCCTAGATTAAGAAGTAGTAGTTTGCTATGTAGTACTTGTGATGCCCTGATGTATATTTTCCTAACTCTTCTGACTGACGAGGCGCTCAATCATTACGGACCCTACTGTGTTCTCGCTACTATCAGCTCGGCCTGTCACACTCTCTACCCTAGTATTTTGCTGTGGCAATGCCTCGCGGTATAAAGTGCATTCAGATGGACACCCCGCCCTTTCTATTGACGATGAAGACCCTTTCTTAACTCTGACGAAGACCAAATAAATCATGGGACTACGAAATTCGAAGAATGCCCAGAGATCATCACCAGCTACCAACTGTCTTCATTGCTGGTACTAACTCCATAACAGTGAGCTCCGGCGTAAACTGTCGGGTGAACCATCACCTTGTCAGCGAGAATCTTGAGAAATGGCGATCGAGGTGACGGAAAGCTCGAAGATTGGGCGGGTAAGATATGCCTACATATTTATCGATAAAATGCTTCAAGACCCGATCCTCGCGTATCAGAGCTATTTCGATCAGCAGGATCAGTTTGAAGATCTTAATGTGACTGGATTGAATGTAGATGGCGAACTGCAGCGTTTGAGTGTCACAAAGAGGGTTGGATGCTTGATTCGGGCTACAGAAGTGAAGACCGATGAAGAGACCGACGAGGAGATGGATGAAGAGTGAAACAGTGTGGATCTAATTGCAGCCTATTATAGGATATTTGATAGTTTGCCACAAACATATTAATCCTTAATATCAACCAAAATATGAATCGGGTGATATTCATAACGTATTGATGGCCGTTTCTATATACATCTGTCCCTTATTTAGAGATAGGTTGCGTCTTCCGCTGGAGCCAGTTCCGCGTGTATTCATCATTTTCAAAGAAGTGGTGAGTCTTCGCCCAGATCTCCGCGTGGTATTTATTCACCCATTCGATCTCAACACCTGACAAGAGGGACGGTTCAATGAGGTTATTGTCGATAGGAGTCATGGTAACGTGCTCGAAGCCTAACCATGTCTTGTCGCCAAAGTTGTGGTTTGTTTGCACTTCACGCGCCATAATGATGTCTGTTGATAAGTCAGTATCTACAAGGCTTTGAGCAGGACGTGAGCGAAGGGACTTACTCTCAATACGGATTCCGAACTTGCCGTCTTCGTAAAATCCAGGTTCTAGTATTGTTAGCAACTGAGGTAATTCGAACTTGTCAAAGTGCCGTACCATCAGAAATGACATTACCGGAGGCAATAGGTACCTCGGTATATTGAACACGAGAGCCGATACCCATAGGTCCTTCATGAACATTCTGGGATAAAGTTAGCAGTGTTAATCAAGACCTTCTGTATGTCTCCTTACTAGATAAGAACCAACACCGTGGCCGGTTCCGTGGAGGTAATCGAGTCCTTCCTTCCACAAAAATTGTCTGGCAAGGACATCCAGCGCAAATCCGGTTGTACCCTTCGGGAAAACGGCAGAGTCTATACCGATGAGCCCCTTGAGGACCAGTGTGAAGGCTTTCTTCTCAAGTGCAGTTGGTGTTCCAAAATGGTATGTTCTAGTCACATCGGTGGTGCCGTCCAAGTACTGGGCACCAGAGTCACACAGGTAGACGGCATTGGGATCAATGACGGAGCAAGCCCCCTTCTCCGGCTTGTAATGAATCACCGCTGCGTTGGCACCGGTAGAAGAAATGGTGTCGAATGACAGGCCGACGAAAAGGTCGTGTTTAGCCCGAGTCTGCTCCAACTTGTCCGCAGCGTCGACTTCATCAAGGGTCGATCTCTTGTTAATCAATTCGTTCTCAAGCCAAGCGAAATATTCCGTCAAAGCAGCGCCGTCTCTGACGTGGCAAGCCCGCATTCCATTGAGTTCTGTTTCGTTCTTGACAGCCTTAGAGTCCGAGATAGGGCTGCGGATTTCCTCAACCTGTTCCTCGCCCCCCAAATTGAGGCTCAGCGCCCAGGAAGCTTTGTTGGACAGCAGGAACTTGGCGCCTTCCTCCCCTGCAGCCTGCTTTCTGGACTCGCTAAGGGCCTTGGCGTCGGCAAAGATAGAGTCATAGGGCTTTATTATAACATCTTGGCCCAAGTGAGACTTAACTTCCGGTGTCAATTTGTCGTCGTCGATATAGAGCTCGGCGGTGATTGGTGTGACAATGGCATACGCGAAAAAAACGGGGTTGTATGGGATACTATATTGCATTAGCCTGCGACAGTTGAGCATACCCGGTAATTCGCGGACTCACTCATTTCCTCTCAGGTTAAACAACCATGCAATCTCATCGAGCAAGGCTATCGTCTGTTAGTTAACGCGATATAGTAGGCCAATAAAGAAACATACATATAACAAATCCAGCTTTCTTCTTGTTCTCAAGCTCCTTACGGAGATCGCCGATTTTCTCCTGGAAACTCTTTCCCGCATATTTCAGCGGGTGGACTTTGACCAGCTCTCTTGGAGCTGCAGGCCGGTCCTTGCCCCAGACCAGGTCGACCAGGTTCTGTTGAATTCCCACCAACGAGGATCCATTCTTCTCCAAGGTCTCGGCGAGTTTGCGCGCATCCGCTATATCATATGAGCGTAAGCATTCTGGCCCAATCTGTGCATTGTAATCGCTTCCACTTACAAGCTGTGAACAAGGCCGGGTCCACACCAACGGCCTTACCACCCTCCGCTTGCTCGGTCGTCCTAAATCATTGTTCAGTTTCTGGATTCTGGAACCTCAGGTTGACTCAACATGTGTCATACCATTCCTGCCAAGTCGGAACATTTTCAACCCCTCGTTTCAAAAGAGTCCAGTTTTGGTCCAGCTGCTTGGAAGCTTGATTGAAGTATCGCCCGTCTGTGGACAGAGCTGCTTTGGTCATGGACACAAGGGCAGTGCCGGCCGAACCAGAGAAACCAGAAATAAACTCTGCGAGGATAGGTGTAAGTGGTGACGGTTGGTAGCCGTACGCGAGCGGTCTTGTATCAAAAGGGCGACATTCTAACCTCGACGAGCATCACACGGCGCAATGTATTCCGACTGATGGCTATCTTCTGAGGGAACGACTTGGAATTGTCAGGACCATGTCTCCTTCCTTTTCTTGCAACAATCAAGAATAGAATATGATGTCATACTGTATACATCCACCTTGTGCTCCCCCATCAACTGCCTGAGCTTCGACAAGCGTTCGGAAGTGTCCACGGGCCCCATATCAACGGTGTAACGTGGTACAGAGGTAGAAAAGAACCTGGTACAAGGGAGGGGTATCTTGCGAATTGATCTGAAAGTAGAAATCCAAGAAAGACGAGCTGGAGGGCGGTAGAATAGCATCGACTGTTTTGGGTGGGCGACGTTAGGTAGGAGAAGAAGTGAGGATATGCAGGTGACCGCTCTGGAAACGCAACCAACTCCTTTGTCTGGCGGGATGTTGCACTGATACAAGTGAGAACTGTATGGAAGGAGGTGGGAATTGACAAAAATGTTAGGCACTATCGCGTGTTTTTGCCAGAAATTAAAAAAAAATGGCTTGAATGCAAGAATTAAGCTATGAAATGATATCGGATGAGTTGTCTCCCCGGTATTTTCGGTAATTACCGATGATTACCGATTCTATACATCAGAAGCACATTCACAATCACAATGAGCCCTCTCTAGTCCATGTGATATGCAAATTTTCGTCTGCATTGCTTGCAGAATTCCCAGGCCAGTTAACAATATTATATCCAATTTATCAACCGAATCCTTTACTGGTTGAGCAGGATGGAGACAATGCCGGAATCCTGGCGGCTGACCGGAGTTGTTTGCTAGGATTGAAGCTGAATTGTCCCTGCAGGCTGGGCAGAACTGACGAATATGTTTGCTTATTCTTTATTACTGGCATTAAAGACAAAGGGTTCGTCTATCCTTTCCTCTTCCAACAAAACGGTCTTTTAAAATCTCTCCAACGTCTCGTCTCATCTTGTCTCGAAAAATACATAAATACATCGTCCCTCCATCCCACCTTCCTCACCGCCTGACTGATCCGTGATAGCGTTATCAACACGTGATTTTCCATCGACTGTCCCTCCTGGTAGTTCACTGCGAGACTCCACCGTTCTCCAATTCTCTCCTCGACCAGACAGGGTCATTCGTGTTTCGGTCATGTCTATGGATGGGTTAGGTCAGGCCTCGGATATGCAACTAGTCATCAATGAGGCCAGGATGGTAAGTCCTCTTTTTTCCGCGCGAAAAGCACCTAATATAAAGCATTTCGCTAATCTGTTTTATAGCTTGTGTCCCAGCTCTATGACCCAGCAAATGCGGGCAATCCTCCCAAGATCACGCTTATCCAAGAGCAATTACAAGCCCTCCAGAAAAGCCCTCAGGCGTGGTTGATCGCCAACAGTCTTCTCAGTGATAATGGTACAGACTTGAGGTTCTTCGGGGCTCTGACGTTTACCGTCAAAATCAACCAAGACTGGTGTGTGGTTGCTCTGACTGTTGGTTACTAGGGACCCCGGTTTATGGAGTTGCTGACAATTTTTGCAGGAAACAGTTAAGTGAGAGCGAGGCGCTGGAGCTAGTTGGTCGCTTGATCGACCATTTTGTCTTCTTGGTGAACAGCGGGGAGCAAGCCCTTGTGATTAGGAAACTTGCTTCAAGTCTGTCAACCATCTTCCTCAAGCTTAATTCACCCTGGGTCCGTGCCGTCTGGAATCTTGCTGCTTCATTGGCAAACGGCAAGCATCTATCCGAAGAACAATGTCAGTCACTAGATCTGGGGAACACAATCCTTCCAGCGATGTCCGAAACCCAGATCGTTGCACTTCTCATGTTTTCCAATATCCTTGGAGAAGAAATTAATAAATGCAGCGCGGAAATCAAAGGAACTGGCGATAACAAACGAGTAAATGAGAACATCGCGGACGCTCTTTGTCTCGTCGAATTTGTCCTTCGACATGTTCTGCAGCGGGAGGCATCTGGTAATCCTGTCCCCGACGCCACACCGGGAACAGAAGCCATCAATTCGTGCAATGTAAGTAGACTGACCCATCACGTCTGCTCGGGAAACTGACTCAACTCACAAGTCATGGCTGTCTATCCGAGGTGTGAATCAAGTTCGTGAAATGATATCAGCACCCCAACTGGCTTCGACAGCGAGCCTTGTGATTGAAAGCTTGAGGGTGGACAATCTGTCGAAGACGGCTGCTCAGGTTCTGAACGAATTAATAGAAACGCGACACTCCGTCTTCGACCAAGATCATTTCAACACCATTCTAGAATACCTTGTCAGTGATATTGGCACCACTTGTGTTTCCTCTATCATAGATGGTGATTTTGACGACGAAAACATTACTTTTTTGGAGCTGTTATTGGCCTATTCGTCTTTAAAACAAGAAGAGCTGCTCTCAGGACCGTCGGATTCGCGGCACGAGAAAGTTCTTGCATTCCTCCACACCATTTTCAGAGCACCGGGCTTTGCTGTAGTCGACGATTCGGCATCACCCCTCGTCCTCGAATGGTGGACTGCAGCTGCTGATGACTTACAAATGATGACCGATGATGCGGAGGGACAACCCAGTCATAACTTTGCCAAGCAACATCTGGCTCAAGCGGCCCTCGAATGCTTTGAGAAGCTAAAATATCCGAGCAAAGAGGAGCTGCGCGAGTGGAATAGCGAAAACCGCAATGAATTTAGTGTATTCCGGCGGGATGTTTGCGACTTTCTTCTTGCGGTCTATCCCATGCTAGGTGTGGAGTTAATCCAAGTTCTTCAACAACGTGCGACATCATCTTTGGCGACTCAGGATTGGACAACATTTGAGGCTGCGATATTTTGCATGGCCCAACTCTCCGAAGCTGTCGATGAAAACCAGCATGCCGACACATGCTTGAATGCGATTTTCTTCAGCGACGAATTTGCCCGGCTTTGCATGGGTGAGGGTATAGCGATTCCTGATACACCTCGCCAGACACTGGTGGACATGCTGGGGCAATACAAGTCGTATTTTGAACGCTCACACGATTTGCTTCCCAGCGTCTTGACTTTCTTATTTGCGTCGCTTGAAGTTGGACCATGTGCGCCGACTGCGTCCAAATCTATCTCTTATCTATGTAAGTCATGCCGCCACGCACTTAAGTTTGAACTGCCAGCATTCGTGAGCCAGTTTGAACAATTTCAATTTAAACCCACTGCTACATCCCTCACGATGGAGAAGGTCTTGGAGGGAATTGCGGCCATTATACAGACATTGCATACAGAGGAAGAAAAAGCGCAACATCTCGAGAGAATTTTACGTTTCTTCCGGCAGCAAGCGGATGTTGCACGAGAAGAAGTCTCCCATGGACTGCTGGAGCCTGCTACTAGTCGCGGTCAATTGGTGCTACGCTGTCTCGCGAGTATTGGCAAGGGTCTTCGAGCTGACGGGGAGATCGTACTGGACTCCAATGACGTTAACTCCGGAGACCCTTACGCACCGACGTTCTGGAATACTAATAACTCAGCACAGAGCATGATCATGGAATGCATGCAGCTCTTGATGACCGATTTCCCATTGGACATCACCATGATTGAAGCGGCCTGTGATATTCTGAAGGCCGGTTATACTGAGAAGACTGGTCCATATGTTTTCCCACCGATACTAACTGTCAACTTCGTTAAAAGTCTCCCGTTGGGTAGCACTGGGGCTGATGTAGTCATGGGAACGGCCTCTGCCTTCCTAGCATCTCATAGTGCCCATCCACAGCGCATTCGGAACGAAGTTGTCGCATTGATTGTCCATCTGTACGATGCTTTCTGCTGGATGCATGAAAGGCCAGAATCCTATGATCCTGAGGTTGCGAACAGTGGAATTGACTTCCTTACGCGCCTTATCCCCAAGTACCATCCTTTCTTGTTTGCACTTACCATGACGCCGCAAGAGCTGGGGCAAAACGAGGGTGGGCACTCGCAACGGCCACCGATCCTACAAGCGACTTTGAACTTTACACTCATTGCTTTGCAAGGACAAGAGCCTCTCCCTCTTCGTTCTGCTGCCCAGTTCTGGATAAGCGTATTCAACCTTCCGGGTGGCGTGACTCCCCACACGTCCGATCCAGTTCAGGCAGCCATTCGCGACTGTCTCCCAGCGCTCTGCCGTATTCTCATGTTGCGAATTGCCGGTCAATGTGCGCGGTCTGACCTCGACCATCTCTCTGAAGTCCTCCGCAAGGTCATTTTCAAGTTTCAGGGACTAGCTCGCCCACATATAATTGCAACGCTTGACGCTGTGGCAGCTAGCCAAGCTGAACAGCAGAAACCTGTTGTATCGCCCGAGGAGAGACAACGCTTCCTTGCACAACTCACAGTCGCCAGGAATGGTAGGGCGCAAGCCATTCAGGTGGTTCGTGGTTTCTGGGTCAAATGTCGCGGAGCGGGATTCGATTATGTTGGTTAGTAGTCAAGAACAAAAACGCATAAATTATTATTCAACAAAGAGGCGACAACAAAGGAAAGAAAAAGTACGGAATACCGAGAAGTCCAAAATGAGGCACGAGTTTCGGTGTAATCATAAGGCTGCGAAGATGCTATTTTGGTGAGAACCCCTCCGATCAGTGGATACTGGCGACACCGACATGTGTGAGATTGCTGTGGGCCAGCTTCAGCCCAGCCACCGAGGCGGTGCAGTGTTTGTGCACGCTAGACGCCAATGCGAAACTCCGCATACAAAAATTGCTGCAGACCGTGTCCCGTGTCCATGTCAGTTCCCTTCGTGTCCCGGTGGCATTGGTTTTCTCTAGGGACTTTTGTTTTGGACTGAAAGAAGTGTCTGGCACCTTTGAATTGGAAATTCTTTGGCAGCCCGACAGTGAAGTGGAATATTCCGCTTAATTTTAGAGGCCTGATTGTTGTTCAGCTGTCACTGATATAACATCGTTTTCCTCATTACATTGTATTGGTTTTCTATCTATCATTTTTTCTATCTCATTCCGATCGGATATTCTTCGGTATTTTGCATAATGCCTCGTGCTTCCAATACTATGCAGCGCACCGATTCATTGGATCCAGCTACGACATGTAAAGGCCTCACGGGCAACGGTCGACCCTGTCGCCGGCCACTGGCGGGCGATGAAAGTGGTCCAGCCAAGTATTACTGCTGGCAGCACCAGGATCAAGCCGCAGCAGCAGCATCTGCACCTGCAACCACGCATGCAACGAGCAACTATGCAGCGCAGTCGAGAACCAGCGTCGACACTTTGATGGAGCGACTGAACATCAACGACCCTCAGGCACCGCCCAAGAAATCCAAATCAAAGGGAGGCCTGCTCTGCTGCTGCTTCAATCTCATCTGCGGCGGCGACGACGAACCATCACCACCCCCTAGGCCCGTCCAGTCGCAATCGCAATCGCAACCGCGGCCTTCATCTAAACCCCCAACTGCACGTCCAAGTGGAGGACAATCCCGCTGGATCCCCTCATCTCTATCACCCGCGACACAAAAGAAGCTCCTCTCAGAAATCGAAAAACCCGTTTCAGACAAAGACGAAGATGGCTACATCTACATGTTCTGGGTAACTCCAACCTCCAGCTCTAGATCCGCGCCTCCCCCCGCAGAAATTGGCTCCTCGCTATTTGCCAACTTTGCTGAGAACCGAGAATTGCCGGACCAAATCCGCAGTATTCGCGACGCCATTCGCGCAGCGCGCGATCACAACGCCCTCGCCACCAACCCCACAGACCAAACCCCGGGTAGTGTGCGGTTGAAGATCGGACGCACGAACAATGTTCATCGCCGTATCAACGAGTGGACGAAACAGTGTTCGAACGATCTCACCCTGCTGCGGTATTACCCGTACACGGAGATGTCATCGCTACCTCCGTCCGTCAATGCAACGGAGAAGAAAGTCCCCTTTGTGCATCGCGTAGAGCATCTGATTCATATCGAGTTGGGGGACCTTCGGATTCGGGATATGGGCCCTTGTCCGGATTGTGGAAAGAGGCATCAGGAGTGGTTTGAGGTTTCGGCTGAGAGGGAGGCGTTGCAGTGGGTTGATGGGGCTATTCGGCGGTGGTGTGAGTGGGCGGAGGCGCATAGGAGGAAGCAGAGGCGTTAGCTGTTTTTTGGGGCACTAATATGTGTATATTGCATTGTAATTTAGATTGGCATATTGGATATAACAGGACAGGATATTGAACGAGATCTTAAGACGTCAATAACATAATCTCAACCATGGTACATACACCCAAACCCACCTTTACATAGTAACCTTCAACGTCCCATTTTCCCTCTTGATATTACCGCTGCCACCAGCACCGTTACCATGTCTCCCAACATACCCACCCCAAACCCACCTCCCCACAAAAACCACCCCCCATCCCCATCCCCAGACCACAACCCCCAGAATCCCGGTAATCACTAAAACTGGCCCTAACACCAATAATCCCAAGAACGCAAATATCCCCGCCGCAACGAGACCAGCCGTCAACACACCAGTCGTAAACAGGAGAATCGGTAGAATGGAGGTTAGAAATTGGGCGGTGAGGAAGGTGGTTAGGAGAGGGTGGGTGTTGAAGTGTTTTTGGAGGGATTTTAGGGCTGCAGTTGCCGGGGGGTTGATGTAGGTTTGGAAGAGTCTGTGGAGGTATTCGGTTTTGGATAATTTGGTGTTGGGTTGTTGTTGTTTCGGTGGGAGGGATTCGGGTTTGAATTGGGGTGCGGTAGCCGTGTAGCCGTTCTCGAGTGAGATTGCCATTTTTGCGTTTCAGGTAGAATTTACTCGACTATATTCAATTAACGCGGTCTTGATGGGTTCATAAAGGTGTCTGCATTTGCAATGAGATGATGATAAGAAAAAAGTTCAGGCTGACTCGGACCTCGAGCAAATTGGCAGAAGGCGGTATTATTTTGCCGGATGTATTTTCTAGACGGTTATTGCGTGTATAGCTGTAATTTTATATATACACTCGCAGGGGTTTCTGTAGCAGATCTCGGGAAATTGATTGGGTTGGTTCTATTTCATGAACGGGATATTGTCGGAGATAATTGATCCTGGTGAAGGTTGTCTGGAGGCCTGAGCATGTTGTAGCCCGGATAAATTTCGTGGACCGGTGAACTAAGAGGTGTGACTTTTATGTTTTGAACGGCTCAATGTACCTTGATGTAGTGTACCAGGAATTATCATGGCTCGTAAATGACAATCACTTTTCAGTGGCTCAAATACATATCAACAACAGAAATGTAGGCAATATGCTGTACAAATAAACTTCCAAACGCCTTAACAAAACACACTCAAGTCTACCACCCGCGCTTGGCCAACTTGTCACCCTCGGCCATATGCGACACGTTAATACCAACAATAGCTTCGCCCAGGCCCTGGCTGACTTCCGCAAGAACCTTGGGGTCCTTGAAGTGAGTCACAGCCTGCACAATCGCCTTCGCGCGCTTCTTCGGGTCGCCAGACTTGAAAATACCAGATCCAACAAACACACCGTCACAACCCATCTGCATCATCAGCGCCGCATCGGCGGGAGTAGCAACGCCACCGGCAGCAAAATTGACAACAGGAAGACGGCCCTTCTCAGCAGTTTCGCGGAGCAGCTCGTACGAGCAGCCCAGCTCACGCGCGTACAGACGCAACTCAGGTTCAGCGTTGGGCGAGCTCTGCAGAATTGCACGCGCACGCGCAACATCCGAGTTAACGGTGCGCATGTGCTTAACGGCCTCCACAACATCTCCAGTACCAGCCTCACCCTTGGTGCGGATCATAGCGGCGCCTTCGGAGATCCGGCGCAGGGCCTCACCGAGGTTGCGGCAGCCACAGACGAAGGGGACCTTGTAGTTGTGCTTGGTGACGTGGTGGACGTCGTCGGCGGGGGTGAGAACTTCGGACTCATCGATGTAATCGACGCCGACGGCTTCGAGGATTTGGCACTCGACGAAGTGGCCGATGCGGGCCTTGGCCATAACGGGGATGGTCACGGCTTCCATGATCTCCTTGATCATGCCGGGGTCGGACATGCGCGCCACACCACCGTCTTTTCTGATGTCGGCGGGGACTCGTTCGAGGGCCATGACGGCGGCGGCACCGGCCTCTTCAGCAATGCGGGCCTATAGGAGGAATACTTAGCTTCTTGCAACCTGTCAATTATAGTTTCAAAGCTACATACCTGCTCCGCGTTGACAACGTCCATAATAACACCACCCTTCAACATCTGGGCCAAACCAGCCTTGACCGTGAAGTCGGGGACACCGTTCTGCTGAGCCATTGTGACGGATATAGAAGAAAGATAGGGTTGAGAAGAGACAAGCAATTGAGCAAGAACAGAAGAATGAATGAATTGACCGTTCAAGAGAAAGAGACCCTGTTTAAAAAGAAAGGAAAGGAATGAGTCAACGGACAGGTTCTAGGCAAAAAATACTTAGAATTGCCTCCAGCGGCGAACGAACCACTTCTTTTCCCCTCCCCCGCCGAACTTTTTCCCTCCGAGGGGCAGCCGCCTTCTGATTGGTCCTCAGTCCCGCGTTCACGTGCCATTGATTTTCGTTGTTCCCCGCGGGTAAGTCATGTGACTTCCTGACTAATGTATGGTAATTTTGTACAGTAAGTTACAGATGGACTGACCGCCTTATGACGTCACAATGTACAAACAACGTTTGTTGCTACGGTCAAGCAACATTCCAGTTGTCCTGTAGTGTTTAGTTTCTCAATTGCTTCGGTATCTAAACCTCGCCTATTATACCATATACCAGTTATCCACCACAACCAATTCAATTGAATCACCACCGAACAATCATCAATTTCAGGCCAACCAATACCTGGTATACAACAAGACAGGATGTCTATCCTCCTCTCCCGAACTTCCACAGTCCTAGGCATCGGCCTCGGTCTCTCCCTAACAATGCACCCCCTCTCCCCCCTCCGTGCATCCCCAATGCAATGTCAATACACCGCCCCATACTACCGTACCGAAACTCCCGCCGCAGAGACCGGCTGGGGCGTTCCCACCGACGACCACCTGCTGTCCAAGCAGGGCAAGACGAGACCGAACACTGGCACAGGGCTTCTGACTAAGAACAATATGAAGCAGGTTAGTTTGGGGAGTGTGTTAGGGTTAGTTGCGGGGGTTGGGTTGAGGGCTTTCTCGAGGGTACTTGTTGTGTTGATTGGGATGGGGGTTGTTTTTGTTGAGGTATGCCAGATCCTGTTGGATGAAGGACGGATGGATGGGTGCTGACAATTAATAGTGGGCTGCGTCGAAGGGGTATAACATTGTACCCGTGAACCGGTTGCAGAGATACGTCAAGAACACCGATTTGCAGAGGACGTTATCGAAATATGCGCCGTTTAAGGTGACCTTCGGTATTACCATGTCGCTTGCTGCGTTTGCGCAGTTCTAGTGTCAGAGGTTCTCGATAATAGGTGTGGAGGATAGTTTGGTCATCTTTTTCATGTTGCAATACTATGTACCTAAATAATAACTCCCGCTAGGCATTAAATTAATACAAGCTCCCTTCACACGAAGACATATACGCACGGGTATCATGAAAAATCAGCTCAACACCAAATCCTCCAAAACACCCTCCATCTCCTCCCGAGACAAAGGAACACCCAATATCTCCATCCCACTCGCGTCTATCCGCGACGTGATCATCTGGTGATCGTGGAATTCCTTCAACAGCGTCCGGAACATCATTTCCGACGAAGCGACAAATTCCTCCGTCGCTTTTTGGTACAGCATGCGGAATTCAATGCCTGTTTCATTGTGGGCGTTATTCTCGCCTTGACCTTGGCCACCGTCTTCGTCGTCTGAGTTGTGTCCGTCGTCCAGCATTGTTATTAACTCGGTGAGGAGGAGGCGGTACAAGTTCTGCGCATTCTCCGGAAGACTCTTGAGTACGAAGCCGACACCTTCCTTTCCTCCAATGCGGCGGCCCTTGCGGCCCAAGAGGCCGTGGACTTCTTCGACAATGTCGAACTCAGCATCGAAGGCGGCGAATGTAGTACAATCGTGGAAAACGAAGTTGTATTGATCGCGGAAGTTGATATCCCACATCAAAAGGAAGTTTGGTGTGTCTGTTGTCGCAAGTAAACGGATCATAGGGGTCGCGGCTAGTCGGGATAAGAGGGCCTGGTTCACTGCTCGTCGGAGCGGAGGTGCATCGATCGAATTGATCAGGACTGTGATGGGCTCTTGGGATGGGCGTGACTTGAGGACGGACTGCAGCAACTCCAACACCTCGACTGGTTGGGAACCCAGTTTTGACGGGAGATCTGCACCAAGGACGGCTGTGGCAATCGTAGCGAAGATAGATCGAATGGAGATATTAGGTGTATGTCCATTGACAATAACAATTGACGGAGACGCAGGACTATGCTTCTGATGAAGCCAATCCGCGAAAGACTGCAAAAGCCTCCGCTTGGACCCAAATCCATACAAACAAATATTGAAGCCCTGGTCGAATTCAAAATCCCATTGCGGGAATGACCGATGATGCAAGTCAAGCAGAAACTCCTTCTCCCTCTTACACGGATCCGTATACCGCGCCAACGTATCAAAGTATTCCTCGTGCGTTAACAACGACACCTTGTTCAGCGTATTGTTTGACGTATGCGTTGGACCTGCCCGATTCTGGAAGAAATATCGTTCATGCGGCGGGAGTTCACCTTCCGGCGTTGGAGATCGTTTGTTTCTCGCACCCTTTGGTCGTCCTGCGCGACGTTTGGGCGTCTGTGCTGACTTTTCTGTCGGCTCTGTTGATGCTTCCACAGATTCCTTTACTTCCTTATTCCCATCCGCAGTGGTGGCCGGGGCATCATTTTCATCCTCCAATATCTCCTCCGCTAATCGATAAGCTCCATCCCATACCTCCTCATCATCCTGCTCGAGTAGTAACCGCGCGCTCTTCTTCTTAGCAGACCGGTCCGCATTCCGTGCTCGTGTAGGAGTCGAAACAGTTGTAGATTTGGTAGTAGTAAAAAGGGCTTTTGCCTTTGCTCGTTGCGTAGGAGTCTTTAGTCCCGATTCTTTCAGCGCAGCCGGAGTCGCAGCGTTGGATTTGCGGGGCGTTCGTTTCGTCGGACTCGCCTCGGGAGAACCATTTCCATTGAGATTATTATTCATGATGCCATTTGCTGTGGTTCTCTGTCTTTTGGGCGTGGATACCGGACGGTATTCATCTTCGGATCCGGAATCTGGTTGTTTGCGCTTCATCTCGTGAGTTACTAGTCAATGGATTACCGGAATCAAAGGCGGATTAATACCATTAAGTCAACGCGATGCTATAAATCTTCAAATTAAAACAACAGAAGGAACGAGCACAGGTACAATAGCGGAAATGCAAGGGTTGAAGTTTACTAGGTATGTTCAACGAGTGGTTCTTGTTCCTGAATAGAATCCGCCGGCGTGTTCTTTTTGCGCGTCTGGAACGCGTCCCAATGAAGAAAGATGCCGATGGGTTTCTCCGGCCCCGCGATATCGGAGCAGTGATTCGAGATGATAAAAGCCTCGGCGGCAGGAATTGCTTAATTAACGAGCACGGAGGTATTTATTCGAGTCTTGTGAAGTGGGAGGTTTATCTGCTGCCCCCACGTAGCAATTGATCGGAATTAGCATAGAGGCGCATTGTGAGTCACTCCCACAGGATATAAATTGAACTTCCGTCACTGAACTACGGCCATCGCTAACATCTCAAAGTGTCATGGCCTCCCAACCTGCAGCCACAATGGCTACCTCAACCTTCGCGCGCATGGCCAAAGGCCAAGTTCGCCACTACTCCGCCCCACTGGAAATGTCCATCCCGCAATCCAAGAAGCAATTCATCCCTGCCTCCGGCACCTACCCCAAGGGTTTCAACGTCTCCGGCACGCACGTCGGTGTGAAAGCCTCCAACACCAAGTTCCCGGATCTCGCGCTGATCTCGTCCGAGACGCCGTGCTCGGCTGCGGCAGTGTTTACGACGAATAAGTTCCAGGCTGCGCCGGTGCAGGTTAGTCGGGAGACATTGCAGAGTCGGCGGGGGAGTGGGATTCGGTCTGTGGTTATTAACTCTGGTTGTGCGAATGCTGTTACTGGTAAGGGGGGCGTGGAGGATGCAGTTGGTATGGGAGGTAAGGTGGATGAGTGTAATGGACTCGCTGAGCCGAGTACGATTGTCATGAGTACCGGTGTTATCGGACAGCGGTACGTTTCCTCACCCCCCAAGTATACCAAAAAGTCATGAATGAGAGCTGACCCATCAAGCCTGCCCATCTCCAAGATCCTCTCCAAGATCCCCACAGCCCACGCCAACCTCTCCTCGACCCACGACTCCTGGCTCACCACCGCCCGCGCAATCTGCACAACAGACACTTTCCCCAAACTCCTCTCCCAAACCTTCACCCTCCCTTCCTCCCCCGGCCGTACCTACTCCCTTGCCGGCATGACGAAAGGCGCCGGCATGATCCACCCCAACATGGCAACCCTCCTTGGCGTCCTCTGCACAGACGCTCCCATCGAACCGCCCGCCCTCCAGTCCCTGCTCAAGCACGCCGTCGACCGCTCGTTTAACTCGATCTCCATAGACGGAGATACGAGTACTAACGATACTATTGCTATTCTGGCTAATGGAGCTGCTGGCGGGGCACCAGTTAACTCGTCCTCGTCGAATGATTATACAGCTATGCGCGATGTTCTGACGACCTTTGCGCAGTCGCTTTCGCAGCTTGTTGTTCGTGATGGTGAGGGAGCTACGAAGTTCGTCACCGTGCGCGTGCAAAACTCGCCGTCCTACAACTCTGGTAAACTCATTGCTTCGACTATCGCTCGCTCCCCGCTCGTCAAGACGGCCTTGTACGGCCGCGACGCGAACTGGGGTCGTATTCTCTGCGCTATTGGTTACACGCAGGGCGTTGCAGAGGGTACTGTTGTGCCGGAGCGGACGAGCGTGAGCTTCAAGCCTGTCGATGGTAGCCCAGTGTTGAAGCTCTTGGTGAACGGTGAGCCAGAGCAGGTTGATGAAGAGCGGGCTAGTGCCATTCTTCAGCATGAAGATTTGGAAATCTTGGTTGATCTCGGTGGTGGTGAGCAGGGTGAGAAGGGTCTTGGTGGTGAGGAGGCTACATACTGGTTCTGTGACTTCAGTCATGAGTATGTGACTATCAACGGTGACTACCGGACATAAGCCGGAGAAAAGGCGTTAGTAGAAAAGTTGAGTGGTTATACCCAACTTTACTATGTGTATGTATGTATATGCGTTGTCGATTTGTCTTTAAAACAAGCTACTAGTCTCCAAATGTATGGATGGAAACCAATTACACCTATTTGAATTTTCATAATATGGTTACAAACCAGGATTGTGTGCTATATACAGCGCAGCTTCACTTCCCTGTAAACTCCCAACATGACAGATAGCATAAAAAATCATAAAAGACACTATCAATACATGTATAATGAAGTATTCAAGCTCCACAACTTGCCGTCATAAATAATTATCCGTCATGTGGAAGACACAACAGAAGAAGTCTTCGCCGTAACAGTACCCAATCCTGAACGAAGAATCAAAAGAAATCACAGTCCTATCTCATACTGTTCGTCAAAAGTTCCCCTGCTTAGCTGCCAGGGACAAGGCCCTTGAGGCCAGAACCGAAGTCGCCCTCTCGGGCAGCAATCTCGAAGTATCCGTAGATAATACTAGGAGCTGTTAGTATCGGATTCAAGAGTATGAAATGAGAAGTAAACTTACGTAACGGCAAGCAGAATACCAGTACCGCTTCCAAGAGCACCGAGAAGGTCAGAGGCAACGGACAGAGCACCAATGCAAGCACCACCGAAAGCGGCAGCAGTGGGGATGATACGCTTCAGTTCCTTGTACATGCTCTGCTCACGGTGACCGGCCATGACGAGACCCTGGTCCTTGAGCTGCTTAGCAACATCACGGGGAGCGGAGCCAGAAACCTCAATCCAGGTCTTGGAGAAGAGAGCGCAGGCAACGAGCATGAAAGCAATGTACACGGATGTGTGGACGGGGTCGAGGAGGGCCTCCTTGAAGTTCAAGGGAGGGGACATGTAGTAGGCAATACCCGAAGCAGCGTGGAGCTGAGCGGAACCCTCACGGGGCTCCCAGACACCGAGAAGCTTGACAAGGATGTTGTCAGAGAAACGCGAGTACAACATCTGGCTAATTAGGAAGATGTTGGAGCACAGAGCGGACTGAAGCATGATGGGCATGTTGGAGGTGTAGAACAAGCGGACGGGGTAAGAACCACGCATGCCACGCTGGCGGGAGGACTTGACGGGGATCTCAACACGGAAGCCCTGGAGGTAGATGACGGATGCAAAGACGATAACGGTAGCCAGGAGGTTCATGACGTTGGGGAGGTTCTGGCGGTAGAAAGCTTCGTACAGAGCACGCTGCTTGTCGGGCCAGGTCAACAAAAGATGGAAGAGAGCGATGATAGCACCCTCGAACTCAGGGCCACGGCCGGTGTTGATGGTCGTGGGAGAGAAGGCCTTCCAGACAATCGACTCGCAAATGTTGGTAGCGATGAAAAGGGAGATACCGCTTCCGAGACCGTAGCCCTTCTGAAGCAGCTCATCGAGGAGGATAACCACGAGACCAGCAACAACCAGCTGAACGATCAACAGAACGCAGATACCGGCACCGAGGTCGCTGGGCTGACCGTAGAGACCAGTCAAAACGTAAACACAGGCCTGACCGAACGAAAGGATGATAGCGAAAAGTTTCTGAGCGGTCTGGTAGAGCTCACGGTCGGTCTTGAGGTCCAGGTTGACATCGATGAGGTGGGTACCAGCGAGGAGCTGCGCGTCCGTCAGTCGCAGGTTTAAAACAGCAAGATATAATAGCCAATTCATACCTGGAAAACCATGCCCGAGGAGATGATGGGAGTAATACCCAACTCCATGAGCGTACCCCGGTTACTAGCCAACATCATACGCAGCCAGTACAGCGGATCCGAGGTGTCGGACGAGACGATACCATACAAAGGCATCTGACTCATAACCAAGAAAATCAACAAGGTCAACTGCGCCATTGTCAGCCTCCGCGCTTTTATCCATATTGCCAACGTTATAACATACTCCCGTCCACATCAGCTTCTGGTTGAAGGGAACCTTGGTCTCCGGGGCTGCCACCTCCGGGAGGAGGGGCGTGAAGGGCTTAATCAGATCGAGGAAGCGAACTATGATTCGGTCATCAGTATACCTCAATCAATTGAAGCTAGAGTGACCGCGATCGCGTGTCTGGGGAACTCACGTCCGCTCATGGTGACGGTTGACCTCCCGAGTCAATAGGGGGAGGAATTAGGGAGAGAAAAAGGGAAAATAAAGAAAAAGATGCTGGAATGGAGGACCAGCCAAAAAAAATGAGTAAAGAACGATTGAATCGAAGAGAAATAGAAAAGGAAATGGAGAGACGGAGGAGATCAGGACAGAAAAGGGAAGAAGTGGTAAAGACGCCTCGCTGGCCACTTTTTCCCTTCCCAGCCACGCTAACCCGTTGAGGCCACTTGGTCGCATCTCCGCCGTACCTAACTATGGACTCTCCATATTTCGTCTCAAATTTGGTGTTTATACACCTTTCTACGCTCAATTGAATGAAAGACAGTACTGATTTATCAATTTGTTATATTGTTTATGTTCTATATCTAGTTTGCTTTCATAGACATGCAATTCATCATGCGTCCTCCTTCCAGAGAAGTCCACTAAATCGATGCATAGACCTGGCAAAGGCAACTCGCGAAGATGCTGCTATTCAATACATCTTTCTCGTAGAGGTGTATATGCCAAGGTCATGCATGATACACAAAGGGAATGCATAGTACAAAGGAAATAAATGACAGGTCGATAACAAGTCTAATCAACAAGACTCAGGCAGTCATCGACCACTGTTTCGAGCTCTCCTAACCGTGTCTTCAGGCCGTTGTTCTCTTCTTTGAGAACGCCTAGCACGGTCCAAGCTTCAGAGGATGGTACGCCATGGCATATAATGCACTTAGACGGGTTACTACCAAAAGTGGACGAGGCGAGTCCTTTGAGTCGGTCATACGCCGACGGACGTTGTGGTGTTGTACGAATGGGCTCTTTCCGGGGTTGTAACGTATTTGACGTGGGGGGAGACAGGGCGGCTTGTGGGATGCTGGGCGACAGCGCCATGGTCGAGACAGTCGAAGTCGGCGACACAACACCATCGCGGCGCGAGAATATGCTATCTGCCGAACTCTCATCACCAGATTCAAAGCCAGAGTCACTGGTGAACGTACTGGCGCGCTTCGAGCTTCTCTTCGAAGCGGTGAACTCGGCCCCTGAATCGGAGGTGACATCGTCCTCGGGAGGCTTGACTAGCATCACGCTGTGGCGACGTGCTTCTTCCTCTCGTTGACGTGTCTCTTTCTCTTGCTCCAACTCCTCGGCCATGGCCTTGATGGCTCTCTCTTGTTCTTGTACCTTTTCGGCCATTCCATCAAGTTGAACTTTCAAATGCCCGACGCGGGTCCGCGTTTCTTCAAGTTCCTCTTGTTTTTCGTTCTTGTCCGCGTTTGCTTCGCGAAGCGCGAACGTTCTTTGTTTGTAGGCGGCTTGTAGGCGTTTGATCATTGTATCGGCGTTGTTCCGGAGGGCATCGAACGCCTCCTGGCCTTCGAGTTCGTCGGATCCGGGTGGGAACAAAGTGGCAGTGACGTCGAGGTTCAGTAACGCATCTTCAGCGGGTTCGGGGAGCTTCTCCTGTCGCTTCGATCCGAAAAGGGAGAATCGGCTAGGAGTCGTGGCCTGCTTCAACGGTGACGGATAGGTCATGCGCTTCTGCGTTAGGCCCGTAGGTCGCTCCATGATGCTCGATGTTGCCATGGGTGATTCTTCGTGTTCGGATGTTTGACGCACTGCTTCCACACTGACGGGCTCCGACTTTCCTTGAAACCAGTTCGAGAATCGGTTTGCTCCTTCTCCGACCCTTTTCCGGGTAAGTGCAGTTGTGTGGTAGGCGTCGAGGTCCTCAGTAGTCTTAGATTGTTCCGTAAACAAGTGAGTTAACGGCAGAGGGGTTGGGCGTGAGATGACTTCAGTATTGACGCGGCGGTGAGAAGAGCAAGCAGGGGACTTCTTTGCAGGTGATGATGTATTGATATGCTGTGTCAAAGAAGCTGCAGGTACGTCCTCCTCGTGGGACATATGACGATCGTCATAAGGCTGCTTAATTGAGTCTTCCTTAACGGACAGAACTGCAGTCGAGGGAGGTTTAAGATTATCCAGCGCCGGAGACGGTGATATGGAAGGTTGTTCGAGACCTTGATGCATGTTCATGTCTGAAGAATTAAAGAAGCGTGGCGTGGATAAGGGATGACGGAATTCTGGAATGGTAACTGGTAGGTTTACCGGACTGGAATGCCACGTTGATGGGGCCCGGCCGTTGAGCTGCAATAATAATGCACGGCTATGACTCGCTAGATTGACGATTCGATTTCGGGAAGTGTGGGAGAGGAATTGGGCAAAGTATGGAGGAAAAGGGGAACGGAGATTGAGCAGCAGTCTCCTGACGGAAGAGCGGTCTTTCTCCTTTTTTCGTTTAGTCCCGGCGTTGATGCGGAGATTGGACTTAATCTAAGCAATAGGCCCAGACCAACAGCGTAAAGAATCAATGATGGGCAATAATAGTTTGTTCCGTGAGTCGTAATAGCGAATAGCAGTCGTAATCACGTATAAAAATAATCAACTTAGACGAAAGGGAAGCAAACGAAGCCTTATCCGAGTGATATTCCGTATATGTCTCTCGAGGGGGCGTTGGTAGCGAGCACAACCGGAGATACTGATACTCGCACGTGCCCTCTGGGTCGATGCGAAACGCGAAACGGAGAAATGAAAAGAGTGAGCAAGCGCTAAAAAAAAAAAAAAAAAAGGCGATATGAAGAAACCCGGGGGCGGATGTTTGAAAGATGACAAGGGCCCGAGTTTCAAGTGGAATCGATTCCGGGGCCTGCAAGCAAGCGACTAGCGGGAGATTCTGTACTTAAAGATCGAGGATATTGACGAGGTTGGGCCGTTGACAGCGTCAAGAGCAGAGGACGTACCGGGTTACTATTATCGCCTGCTGAGGACGCCGTCGATCGCTGAAAAAGCGGTGGCTGAACGGCTTCTTTTCTCTTCTTACTCGACACAGGGCTTCTCAGGACTCCACACACGCTCAGGCAGAGCTTTTGATTGATGGGATAAGAGATGGTGATTTTCCGTTTTTGTGTTATTCTTAGAGCAGTTCGCCGTCGCCGAGGGTGTGCAATTCTTCAGACGTCACTGTCACCCGTCGCCATGTGGATGATTGGAATGATGGTTAGCATCAGGTTTCCCAAGTATTCTAGGAATGCCTTGGGGGTAGGCATCTAGTCAGCCTGAAATGCAGTGCTGGTGCTCTCCAGTTGAAATACTGGTATCTTGCCATTTGCCATCGAGAATAGGCGTCTTCATTTCTATATATAGCAGACACTCTGCAAAGATTGAGAACAGAGTCAACGAGTATGAATCGAACTAAAACTTTACGGAGTAGCTGTGCAGTTGTAGATAGTAGAAGGTTAAGATGGTTGAAGGGTGATTGAGTTGAGGTCCGCCGGCGCTACAACGAACTCTTTCGATGACATCTGCAGCTGCAACTTCTCCAACGTCACCATTCCAGCATGGCCCCCTCCAGCGTCGCAGGGATGAAACAACTCTCCAATGCCCTAGCCACTCCAGATCAATTATCGAATTCTTCCTCGTTTATCGACGGCGTTTCTCCAAATCTCGAGGCCTCTATTCGTTTTGCAGGCGCCCAACTCACACAGGCAGCCGGAGTGCTGCTACGACTGTCGCAAGATGTTATAGCCCAGGCTATTGTGACTTTTACGCGGTTCTGGATAGGATCTGAAGGAGGGAGTCTCCGGATATACTCTGTTAAGGTGAATAGACCAATGGACCTCCCTGTTTCGAGGATCACTGGCTAACATAACGACTGGATAGGACGTGTCTGCAGCCGCCCTCTACCTAACAGCGAAACTCTCCTTCCAGCCCACCTCCCCGCGCTCAGTTCTGAATGTCTACGCTTTCCTCCTGTCCAAAGATGCCTCTCCACTGTGGTTCATAAACCCCCAGGGCGCGCCGGAGAAGCCCTCCCCTCAATCCTACTACCTCTCCGAAGGAGGCTACCAAACCGAACGAACGGTCCTCTTACGCATTGAATCCATTATCCTACGCGCTCTCGGTTTTGATACACACGTTGCACTACCGCACGCCATCGCTCTCACATATTTGCAGACCCTGGGCGTGCAATCACCGTCGGTCGCGCGACGGGTTTTCGAGCATCTTAACAGCGCGCTTTTATCGCCGCAACTACTCTACGTTACACACCAGCCGAATGCGCTTGCCGTCGCTGCGATATATTTGGCCTCCCGGGAGGAAGGGGTGAAACTTGTTGATGAGGAGTGGTGGCAGGTATTTGATGTTGATCGGGAAGAGCTTGGGTTTTTGGTGGTGGGGATGAGGAGTATGGAGGGATTTGCGCGCGCGGAGAGGGAAAAGTGGAAGGGACGGACGGTTCCTATGGTTGTTGATGAGGTGGAGGCAGAGGTTGAGAGGGACAGGATGATGGAGGAGGGCGAGTGAATGTCATACTAGGCTGGTTGTTTGACTCTCACATCCTTCTCTGATGCTGCTGGGGCACTATATCAGGCGGTAGACAGAACTTCATCGCGCTGGATTGTGATCATGAAGCTCTCGCTGACTGAAGAAGTCGGTGTCCTATACTCCGTAGACGGTCTTCTCGCAAGCTACATCAACGCCAAAGGTGAGCATTCCAGCGGTGACGTAACTAAAGCCCCCTAGCTACTAGTACCTTGGAGGCATTCTAGTAAGAAATAATACACCTGGCGCATGCAATAGTCCTTAGCAGTGAATAAGAGTAAACGACAAGCAGAGGCCAAACCCCGTGGCTGCGATAAGGCCATGTGATGAGCCCCGCGTGCATACGAATGACGGTCTTGTCTCTCCGCCACTTCCACACTCCCTTCTTCTATCTACCACAATCTACAAACTACAAACAAACTACAAATCTCCTCTTTTACTATCATAACTCTACAGCCAAAGAACTCCGGCATAACCATGAACATCCTCCACTCCACCCTCTCCACCTGGCGCGACCGCCTCGCCCCCGTCTCACGCACCTCCACCTTCCGCGCCTCAGGCCAAATCACTCCCGAAGAATTCATCCTCGCAGGCGACTACCTCGTCTACAAATTCCCCTCCTGGTCCTGGTCCGATGCCTCTTCCCCCGCGCAGCGCGTCTCCTACCTACCCCCGGGCAAACAGTTCCTAGTCACCCGTGGGGTGCCCTGCCATCGGCGGCTGAATGAGAACTTTGCGGGCGATGCAGGCCACGAAGATGAGATTGTGCAGGATATGCTTGCGGCTGGTGGCGATGGTGATGGGGATGAGGATGGGTGGTTGAGGACAGGGGGTGGGAGGACTGTTGCGGAGTCGCAGGCGGATAGGCTGAGGGATGTGAGGACGGTGGATGAGTCGGGGAATTTGGGGGAGAGGGAGGAGGAAGAAGAGGAGGAGATTCCGGATATGGAGGATGATGATGATGACGAGGAGGCTATTATTCGGGAGCCGGTTGGGGAGTCGAGCACTACTCAGTATGTCTCCAACTTTCGACTATCTTAACGATGTAGTTGCTAACGTGGTGAACTAGGCCAACCCGCACATACAACCTCTACATCACATACTCCAACTTCTACCGCACCCCCCGCCTCTACCTCTCTGGCTACCTCTCCCCCTCTCAACCCCTCCCCCCACACCTGATGATGGAAGACATCGTCGGTGACTACAAAGACAAAACCGTCACGCTGGAGGACTTCCCCTGGTTCGACGGCAATGTGAAAATGGCATCCGTGCACCCCTGCCGCCACGCCTCCGTCATGAAAACCCTCCTCGACCGCGCCGACGCAGCGCTCAAAATCCGCCGCGACAAGTTGAAGCAGTCGCAGTCCTCATCCGCCAAAGTTGACCGCGGTCTTGAAGGCCTGGTGGATGATACCAAGGGTCTATCATTGGAATCTGAGCAAGCCAGAGAAGGCGGCGATGAGTGGGAGATGCTGCAGCATGATGAGGAAGATCAGGTTGCTATTCGGGTTGACCAGTACCTGGTTGTGTTCCTTAAGTTCGTGGCTAGTGTGACACCGGGGATTGAGCATGACTTCACGATGGGTGTTTGATTGCGCTGTGCTTGTTCGATTGCAGCTGGATCTTGAGTTGTTTCGATATTTACTGTCTTTAATTGTCTAGGTGTTTTCGTATTGGTTCAGGCGCGGTCATACGGTTTTATTATGATACTCTTATGGTATTGGCATTAACTAATAAGTGGAAATTGTGTTGCTTGCTAAGAAGAATGGATATTCTGGTGTGTATATGTAGAATGGCATTAATCTTATAGCTATCTGTTCTATCTAAGCCCAACTCGTCATCCGTCATATATTTGAACCACGAGAAAAAGGAAAAAATCATAAAAGAGAAAGGACAAAAAAGAACAGGTCGAAAAAGTAAGAAGGAATGAATAAGAAAGAAAACCAAAAGGAGTGAAGGAAAGTAAGAAGGAAAGTAATGCAAGGTACATAGAATGTACGGCACATGCCAATACCAAATATAAGAAGAAGAATAGAGTGAAAATCCAAAAAGATGAAGACAAAGGGAAAGAATCAGAAGTGAGGGAAACAAAAAGAAGAAAAATCACATCCCAACATTGTCATAATATCAGACCAACGGCGGAGTGTAGTCCGCTTATTGCTGGGCCCTCGCATCAACCTGCATCTGCCTCAACGCATCCAACTGCGTGCTTATCTGTGCCAACTTCTCCTCCAATGAGTTAAAACGCTCGTCACAGGGGCACTCCGGCTCGGGCTCCTCAGGCTCGGACGCAGGCTCAGGCACCTCTTCAGGTTCAGGAGCAGGACACTCCCCAATATCCTCCTCCTCCTCCTCCTCCTCCTCGGGCTCTGGTTCAGGTTCAGGCTGCGGCTCAGGCTGCGGCTCCTCCTCAGGCTCAGGCAAGGGCACAACGGGCGGCTCCGGCGGCGGCGAAACAGTCGTCGGCTCCGGAGACGGAACAGGAATAGGCTCAGGAGTCCAAGTCGGCTCTGGGGGAGGATACTGCGTTGTCTCCGGGGGAGGGGGCGTGTAGGTATCGTAGAGGTTCACGTAGGGACCATCTGGGATTCCGGCGTTCAGGTTGTCGGAGGTGGAACCGTCGTCTTCTTCGGAAGAATGGGAAGATAGGTAGGGGCCGTCGTCGACGCCGGCGTCTAAGCCAGATCCGGAGAAACGGGTTTGGAGGGTTTTCGTGGCCTTTTTTTTTTTTTTTGTTAGATGGGTTGGATTGGAGGGGTGAGGTTTGTGGGAGTTGGGTGGGCTTACTTCTGGCATAGGGATTGAGAGAACCGTGGCCGGGCCGACGGCTAGCATGAGGAAGAGGAGGCTTGCTTTGATTACCATTGTGGAGTAAAGATGAGAGTTCAATGATTGATCGCAGTTGAACAAATGAGAGATTCAAGATGTGGGATGCTTTGATACTCGAGAGACTTGGTGATGGTTGGAATGTAGAATCGATCTGGATGGGATTCTATAGCCTTTTTGTATCTTTTCAGAACCAGCAGAATCTCCATGAAGTGGAGGGGTATCCATCCTTGTGGGAGTCTTAGAGAGGTCTCAAAGGGCGTGGACAAGTGTGTGAGACTCGAATTGAAGTGAGAATAACCCTTGCTAGATCTCAGAAGCGGTAGTCATCGCGGGGGAAACGTCACTGCAAAATCAGCACATTTAGTTCGTGGTAACCAAATCGAAACATCTGCAGGGCTGTAAGTCAAGTCAGAGACCTACACGAGTTGATGCAAGGGGATACCAAAGTCTCAGACCGTTGAAGATGGAGAAATAAACCGGGGAGAGAAAAAGAAGAACATCAAGTCCAATCAGGTCTCATTCATCTAATCAGCTTAGACATATACAATATCATATCAAAAAAAGGTGTCCCGAATATGCCAAAAAAAAAATTTAACAAAGTCATAAAATCGTATATGGTATCCCAAAAAAAAAAAAAAAAGAAAAAAGAAAAAAAGTGTCTGCACCGGGCAGGGATATCAGTTTCAGGCCATCAAGGCTTGACCAGTCCATGTTCATATCCAAAAAATCATCAAATCAACCTGTACGTAGGCCCCTTCTAGGAGTGATGCAACTAAATCACGACGCTCGACGACCGTCAAGCAAATGCGAATAATATCGTGTTTCCAGACTTCATGGTTGCTTATCTTGGCTAGAAGCCTCGTCCTTGTCTTGCTTGTGGCCATCAGAGGGATCGCTCGTCTTGTCCATGAGCTTCTGATTGAGTTCTTCCAGAAACCCCCTGTCGTGCTCCTCCTCGTTTAACAGGGAGAGCGGACCCTTCAAGGCGGGATCCTCTGGCAAATCCGGAAAATAAGACTCTGAATTTTCCGTCGGCTGGCGAGACAACGAGTTCCCCTCGCTGGGAGACGGTTTATCCGTGTCTGTCTCTGTTTCGACAACAGCCACCATAGGTGTGTGTCCTGCATCCCTTGTCAGGTTCCTGTCCGGTGGGCCAAGTTCGGAAAGCTTGAGCTTGAGAGCGTTCCTATGTCGCGAAGTCGGGGATGGCGCTGGCGAGTTCTTCTGCGACTCAGACGCCGGCGGTGCAGCTGGCGACGGAGGTGTCATCACCCGAGCAATGACCTTTCGTGGCACTCTGGATTTAGGTGTAGACACTGACACTGTTGCCACGGTGAGCGAAGTTCGGGACTTCGAAGGATATGGAAACAAACCTTCGTCAGATGATTTCTCCACCTCCCCAAAAATCCCCGCTAGCCTGCCCCGAGGGCTGGAACCCTCCCGCACTTGCTTGGAATAGTTTGGTAGAGGTGGACCGAACAGATCGGACTTAGCGTTAGCAGCAACGCTGGAGTGGGCCCCATGCCCATTGGCGTTGGCGTTGCCGTTTCCCCTCAGGTTCGCTTCCAACTCGGATATCCTCGACTTTAACAGTCTTCGTTCTTCGCCCCAGAGTCGTCTTTCTTCCGCAAAGAGTGAGCGTTCGATTTCGAAATTTTCCCTTTGGTGGTCGAGGAAGGATCGCACGTGTTCGAGGTAATCGATATCCAAGGTTGAGGAAGGGCGTGAGGCCGGAGGGTCGGATTGTGGGTGTTGGATGGTGGTGACAGTGGGGGACCAGTGGACTTCTTTGTAGAAACAGCCATGGCCGGTGAGGCCTTTTGCCAGGCAGGGTTTCATGATGATGATGATGATGATGATGAGTGATGGAGATGGAGGATAGAATCAATGGTGAAATGGACGATGATGAGAGAAGAGAAGGAGGGGAAGAAAAATGGCAAATATAAGAGATACAGCAGATGTAAGATGTATGGGCAGACCCCCTGTCAGAATGGGGAAGTAAAGGTATACAGGTATACAGACGGCCACGTACAGAGCCAAGTGGACGCACAGCGCCAACTAACGCCAGATCTTCGATGCAGCGAATGAGAATATAACAATATAGTGTAGCAATGACAGGGTATGAGCACTTGAAAATGATGCAAATTGGGGGATTAACAAGAGTAATAATGTATTCTTTAGGCTTCAGAGGAGAGATCACGGGACTGTGACGTAGTGTCATCTGCCCAAAACGAAGCGACTGTCCATGAACACGGACTCATCATTCATTATTATGGTATTATGTATGAGTATATATGAAGTCATGAAGAAAGTATAAACGCCAACAATGCAGAAATGCAAACAGAAACAAAAACGCCATTAATCCCCAGTACTCCGATAAAGCATGCATTTGGCGCCGAAAACGGACAGGATGGAGTGGAATGGTTGATAGCGATAACCGCGCGATCGGATCTCTTTTCGCGACGTCATACAGTTTTTCTCCGCATGGCGAGTAACTTCCAGTTGGATGATCGCATCAAGAATGTGAGAAGAAAGGAGAGAGATGAAGATCACAGCGACGGCCTCTCCTGAGACCCACGACTCCCCCGTCGCAGCAACCTCTGCGCTTCATCCATGACATGCCGATGGATACCCGGCACAGGGAAGAAATGTACCTCCTTGCGCATGGCTCCGAATCTCGTTGCCAGATACAGAACTCCCCGAGCAGAAAGCTCCCGTCCACCAACCGTCGCAGATGGGTAATAAAACCGCGGATCAAGATAAAACAGTACAGTCGACCACCGTGGTAATTTCTCTTGCAATAAACGACCCGCTTGCTCGTACTGTTTCAGAGTTCGCTTAGGCACGCCTGTCTGCGAATGCACGAAGAAGTACACCTCGAATCCCACGCTGCGGATGCGACTGCGCGCAGTAGCACTAAGCGTATCGAGAAACGCACCCATCCGGTCCAGATCAAACGAGTTACGGAAGAACAGTGTGTTGTGCGAGTAAAGGAAATCCTCTGCCTCGTCGTGGATGAGACGGTTGACACGGAGGAGCTTGCGGGTCGTACCGTCGTCGTTTTCCCAGCTTGGACACATTTGGAGGGCACGGTAACGGCCGCGAGAGGTGAATGCGTTGCCGCGGTCGTTGACCACGATCATAGGGCGTTCATTGCTGTATTCGTTGGGGACAGATAGGGCATATTCGTAGATTCTGAGACGGAGTTCTGTTGGGAGGCGGAGGAGGCCAGATTGGAGAGCTATGTTGCGAGCATTGCTCTTGGGAGCATTGGCCCGGTGAGTGCTAGGCTGGTAAGCACTGGGGTAGATGATTCCAGGCATCTTGTTGAATGTTGAACGGATCAGTTGTAGGTGTAGGGGCACACCGTAATTCGCGTCTTGCGTTTCGGAAGTAAACTTGACAGTGCCAGAACCAGTATGAGTATGAAAGCTAAGCTAGGAAAACAAGCAAAAGGAAACAGAAAACCCAAAAAGCATCATCCATTCATATATAAACCAGCCAAAAAAAAATTCTTCCAAGCCAAGCACAGATCAAGCCACTTCCGTTCCATACTCCGGAGTACAACTCACAGTACTATGGCAATTCGGCATCTTCGGTGGTGTGACTTACTTTCGGCGGCGGATCCAGCCCGAGAAAGTTTATTTTGCCTAAAATTTCTCGAAGAAGTTTCTTTTGCTGGTTATTTTCCCTTGTTCTTTTCCACAGTTTGGCCGATGATGGCCCGCCGTGGAGTATATCGCTTTCGGCCATCTACCGGCAAAACCGTCTGTACCGTTCGATTGGGTTGTAAGTGACTCATGCCCTATTTTGTGTATAATGGGATTAGTACTGGGTTCCCCTGTAACATAATTTAATTGATAGAGGTATACACTGTAGGCATGTGAAGAGTGGATATAATACGATAGTGGCAAACGGCGAAAGCTTCCGAGGGTAGTCAGGGACACACTGAGACGTCGCAAAGTCAAGAAACTTTTACCCCAGGGGTAATGCTTCTACTATCTACGAAGTAAACCTCCGTATTCACATCCGCAGAGATAGTCAGAGCCAAATATTGGCTGATTCATATTTAACTCAGATGCAAAAATGCAACTAGCTCCGTCTATATACTCCCAATGACCAGGCAGCTCGGAGCACGGCTAGGCCCCAGGCCATCCCAATACTATCGCGGATCACGTTCAATTTGCTCCCCGTGACTTCGCGCCACCCGACGGCTACCTCCGCCACGGGGATCTTCGCGAATTCTGCTAGCATGAGTACCTCCACGTCGAAGATCCAGCCCTCCGAGTGCATGTATGGGACGATGTAGGGGAGTGAGGCGCGCGAGAACAGCTTGAATCCGCATTGGGTGTCTTTGACCGTGGCCGTCTTGGCTGGGGTCAATAGCCAGAGAATCAGGTGGAAGGAGTGCATGAGAAAGTTTCGTAATTTCGAGCGCTATATTAGTTAGCCCAGTACCCTTAGTTCTAGTCATGAATCGTAACAAACCTTGACCACAGCTTCGCTGCCAACCATGTGCGCTCGGGAACCCACAGCCACGGCCCGTCCACCGGCATCCTCGATCTCCTTACTCGCATCGACGAGCTTACCCAGGTCATCGAATTTGGTCGCACCATCCGCATCCGCAAAGACCACGTATTGACCCCGGACATGCCGCAATCCATGCGTGACTGCACCCCCTTTTCCTCGATTTTGGGTAATTGTCACCACTCTAATCGCGCCAGGAGGGATAGAGACACCTTCCTGTGGCCTGGGCGTCCAAGGACCGGCATACCCCTTGGGATGCAGGGAGAGTTGGTGATCCCGCGCAAACTTGAACGCCACTTCCTCCGTTTTATCTTTGGAACCGTCCGAAACAATGAGTATCTCCCAGCCTTTCTGCTCCTCGCACATTGATCCCTGGTCGTTTCTAGGCTTTCGATGCCGGGTTGTGTTTGTGTTCTTCCGGTCACTAGTCGCTGTCGCTGTCGCGTTGCGGTTACTGTTGGTAGCCAATGTCCCGTACATCCGTTCTAGGTAGTTCACTGCTTCTTCCAGCATGCCCGCTAGACGGTCCTCCTCGTTGTAAGCCGGGACTACCACAGACATGAACAATTCCGCAGGCTCGACTCTGGGGGAGTCGGGGATCCGGCCCGACTTTTTCTTGGAGTCGACAAGGGCATCGTGCCAGCAGGGCAGCCGCTCAGGTTTTGTGATCGATCCATCTTTCGCAAGGGTTCTGTATTTCTTCTCTTCGGGGAAGGACTCGCGGGGGATAGGCGCGACGAGGTAGAGGAGGGTATAGAACTATCCAGCCAGATAATAGGTTAGCCATTGTCATTGGCCAGCACTTGCAAGTAGTAAGGACGGCAGCGACGACATACCAAGACAAACAATCCGGTGACACTAGCAAAGACTGCAGTCAAGGTAACATGGAGAGGAACACGAGCAAGGAGCTCTACGCAATGAACGCAGACATCACCCCAAGACCCAGTCATATTCGAAGAAGCAAGAGGAAGGCCGATCTCTAAGGCAGAATGGAAAAAGGCGAAAAGAGACCGACGGAGCGCGTGCGGACAAGGCAACAAGGGAAGACGAGCTCAAATGCTCGCAGTGACAGAGGCTCACGATTGGGCCAGCCATGCGACGCGAGTGGTTTGCCTTGAGCATCAGTTCATGAATATTTTGTTAAGGATTATGGTCGCCTGAGCAAGAGGCGGTGCTTTTATTGTAAACGGCCAAGTTGGCCTTTTGGGATGTCTCGCAATCTAATCTGGGGTGCGTCACGGCCCCACTGCGGACATAGAAGAATCATCGTACTCGTATACAGCTACGTATCGTCTTGGGGGTAATATGTAGAATGCTCGGAGTTAAGTGATTATTCTTGGTACAAAGAAGTTGTTGCTGTGCATAGAGGCGATTGTTTTAGCTATCTTCTGGTCTATAACGCGGCCGTAGAAGATGTGCGCTCAGATTAAGACACTGCGCCTAAAACTCCATGGTACAAGCAAATAATTCAGATAAAATCACGGGTAAAATCTTTTCAGTAGAGCAAAGGGACGATCAAAATAACGCAGAATAAAAATAAAATAAAATAAAAAACAAAAAGAATATCGACACCTGTGAGATTCGAACTCACGCCTCCAAAGAGACAGATTAGCTATAGCTAGGAAGCTAGCCAAATAGCAGACCTGCGCCTTAACCACTCGGCCAAAGTGTCTAATTGGTGTTATTTTAACAATAGGATAAACACATATTCTGGACCTAATTATAAAGCGCGAGAATTTTCAATTTTTCCTAAAGCTTTCAGCATTCTCATTTTCTCATTTTCTCGGTTTTTGTTGATAACTTGAATTCATGGATCCGTTTTGAAAGCCCCTGCATTGATAGGCTGAAAAGACTGCGTACATGTACTTCGTGGAGTACGCAGTAAGATGTCACAAACAAAATCGATCAGTCGGCAATTCCAATAGCTACTCGAATTTCTTGCACGCTCACTTGGAGCCGTCACTTCAATGGCACAAGGAATGCTTCATGCAGTCGGTGTTCGTCTGCCTCGGGTGAAATGTTCCAACCCATGCTTTCGTTGTTATATCGATAAAAGGTCAGAAAAACACCAATGTGAAGAAAAATTTCCATGATCGATCCCTGAGGCTAGTATCGCGAACTGTTTCTTGTCAGGTATTAGAGCGAAAAGACACAGCCATGGGTCGGCTAATGTTATCCCACGGGGACTATGAGAAAAAATTCGCTAAGCGAAAGCATTTTGGGCAATTACACTTATTTAAATTGCACTATGAGCGAAGCTAAGAAAATCCGGTCGACCAATAAGACACTTTGGCCGAGTGGTTAAGGCGCAGGTCTGCTATTTGGCTAGCTTCCTAGCTATAGCTAATCTGTCTCTTTGGAGGCGTGAGTTCGAATCTCACAGGTGTCGATATTCTTTTTGTTTGCTCTTTCAAATATTTTTCCTTTTTAGAATTTTCAGATATTTTTGGAATACATCTGTTCCTTTTTTAAAGAGAGAGAGGGAGAAAAAAAAAGTGGTGACTAGTCGCAAAGAGCAGAATCCACTTCGAAAGTGTTTACTCAATATATATACATCTATATTAGATCAGGGTCAGCTGTTGGCAACCGGATGGATGCACACTATTGAAAATCATATTCTTCTCAAAATTGCCTCCCTGTTAAATTGGCGGCACATGATATTATTGGACCAGCGAAGATTGAGCCACTTGCAAAGTCCTGGACAAAGCAATTTGTCGAGAGTGTAAGCCATCAAGTCATCATTGACCCCGGCATCTCTAATTCTGAAAAGGCAAAGTGAGCTTACCAGGCTGCTCCCAGGACCCGAATAGGGTCTGCGAAAAGTATTTGAATACAGTAAGAAGGGCCAAACTGAATCCCTTCATGTATCACAACATATACTTCCATGTTTGTGACATGCTACATTAAACGACGAACAGTTACTACAGCATCAAATGCGATACTCTTAGAAATTCTTTTATGTAGTATGACTAACTTTATAAAAATTCAACAACCTGGGCACCATCACCCAAACATTGACACTGCCATTATATTCTCCAAACGCACGCCCTCCCGCCCACTAAAAGAAGAAGAGACAGTACAATCTTGCGTGGTGACAGCAATTCAGTCCAAGCCATCAATACATTGACAATATCCGTCATGGCCGCAGTATCATACGAGGCATTGTGGTAGTCACATTTGTTGGGAGAGACCTGTTATTGGCAAGGTATTGGTGCACTATCTTAAGTCTGTTCAAAGGAAGCCTCGGGGGAGTCTTCTGGCATAGGTTGCCAACACTGACAGCTTGAAAATCAGATGCATTGGCATGAGAGATATTTTCTCTGGACTAAGTCATCCTTCTCTGAAATTAACCTCAGGAAACATTGCATGCCATGCACAGAGAACCATGATAATAACTGGATTCTCTCATGCTGTATCCACATGTATGGATATTTAATTTTTTACTGTCGATTGCCTTTTTTATTGGTCTTCAGACCACCATAGCATCTCAGGAATATTATTCCTATCATCCTGTGTTTTTCCGACATGTACAACGAGGCAGTATTTGTGAAGTCCTTCATGGATAACTGGTAGACCACATTTTCCAGGTACAATAACTGTGACGACTCATATATGACGGCTCAACACTGCAGCAATGAATGATACATCGCAAATGCTGCTACTCAACCATGTCGGCAACAACCTCTATAAAACCCCTTCATTACCTAGATAGATTTCCTCTTCTCTTTTCTTCTCCAGATTCGATATTCTCGTCGATGGCTACAATAGTCTAGATAGGAATTCAGTTCGTTATTATCTACTATTCCGAGCCCGTGACATCAGCTCAATATATTCCTACCTGAAGCAGCCACTGGTAGAAGAGTCCTCACAAAAGTTATTAACTCGGAGCATTCGCTCTTGGTTATATGCTCCCACGCCAAAAGATGAACCTAGAAGATTTGGCTCAGTGGAGGAAAAATACTCACTACCAAGGGCTGAAGACATGTGTCACTGTCATATGCTAGCAAATGCTCGCCGCGAGTAGTAAGGTAGGCCTTAATACACCACCTTTGTCAAGTACCGAGCATAAGTGCTAATTGATCATATAGCTTTAGTCTGCAATCCCCGTCCCAGTTGAGCTTGATTATGACCAGACATTTCAAGGTGACCTTCAACACTGGACCATCAAACTCCTATTCGCTACCAAATCAGGGATCCTGCTGTTACTGCCCCACTGTTAAAAGAGCTCTGTCGAGAATGATACCACCCAGAACACACTTTATCTTCAAGGCTGGACTGAAGACCATAGCCTGTTAAAATGAAAAGGACGGAAAAGGGAAAGAAACAATGCCAGGCAAAATGCTATTAGGTGTCACGGAGCTCAGCCAGGTTATGGAACATCAACTCATGTGTTCTACCTAGGTAGCTATTGACGAGGATAATTGACATGAGGAAGGAAGAAAGGGGGTAACGCCATATTTATAGACAAAGCAACAAAGCAAACAACCACATCTCATGTGATAACCAGCCAACGTGACCAGGCTGTCACATTAGGTATATAAATATAAAAAGAGGGACTGACTTTGTGGACAACAAGAAGAAGTGCATGTTCCTTGTATGCACGGAGACTACAGAGCGCCCAGAATCTTACTACAACTGCTACCACTCCGGTGCACTTAATGGATATGTCTTGAGCCTGCCTGAACTCTGTATTGACATATCTACCAGCACGTCTAAGCATCCAGAGGCATTGGTCGCAGATGACGCGCAAAACATCTTAAAACAACCTAAATATATGCATTCATATCCTTAAAATACTTGGATCATTAACTTTGAGTTTGTTTCAATGCCCGCGAGATATCCGCCAATCTTGCTGCGACTCGCAATTGGGCAGTCATATGGCAGTTATTGTCACGGGCTCGGAATAGTAGATAATAACGAACTGAATTCCTATCTAGACTATTGTAGCCATC